ATGGTCCAACCCGGTGTCAGCCACGCCCAGGGCAAGGAATCCCCGCCCTTGGGCCTCCCCAATACCATCCAACAGGCAGAGGGTGTGGGCAACCTTTATGGGAAAGCTAGGGAAACTGAGGTACAATACAATGCCTTGTTAGAGGTCTGTGCCTAATAGAGCCGTGTTCTCCTGAACACCGAGACTGCAAGGTCAGCGAGGAAGGACGGGTGCGGCGGCCAGGGTGGGGGTCAGGTGCAGCTTTTCGGGGCCTCCAGGTTCCCGAGGGAGACTTCCAGAGGGACGGGGTGAGTGCAGTGTCGCTACCAGGCTGCCGTCAGCTGTGCTGCCGCCAGGGGGCAGCAGAGACGGGAAAATAGAACTGCAAGCCTTGGCCCGAGGACCCAGGGCTTTGGACTTGACAGGGTTCTGCCGGCCACACGGAGTGGACAAAGGGTGTCACTCCCCCAGGAAAGAGGTGAAGCTCTGATACACGGGCATTGGGGGCACGTGGGAAATTCTGTCCCTTGAACCCAAAACTGCTAAAAAAAAAAAAAAAAAAACCCAAAACTAACAAGCAAAACAAAAAACAAAATAAACAACAAAAAACCCCAACACTTTTGATTTTAAATGTTTTCTCCATCAGGAAACTGTAACTATTTGCAAGAATGAGTTCATTCTGATTTAAACATTCCTTAAGGCTCACATGGCTCAAAGCATCACAGGGGCCCCGTAAATATGGACAGCTGTTTTCGGGGGACCAAACCTAGGCCCTGGGGGGGCACCAAGCACCTTCTGTCAGGAAACCACATCCCCAGCCCCAGTGTATACAGAGTTTGTGTATCATGCATCCATTTAAAATACAAATTATATAGAATACAAATGTAAATTAAAATATTTTTATGGAATAAAAAAGAAAAAGACAGGGAAAAAAAAAACGATGACCCACGTGGAAGGAGCTGGTTGGAGGGGTGTTTAAACAAGAGGGGGACACACACACCAGGGTTTGTGTGTCGCCCTCCAGCACGGATGGGCTTTGCGCACGCCCGAAGGTGAGAGAAACCTGGCCCCAGAGGACCTGAGTCTCTGGAACGGTCAGGGTGGGGATGGGGGGCAGAATGGGGCTGCTCAGGCCAGGGAGGGGAACCAGAGTGGGGAGCCGGCGTTTAATGGGTGTGAAGCTTGAGCCCAGGATGGTGACCACCTTCTACAGGGCTCAGTGGCCCGACACTGAGCATGTCCGTGATGCCCCTGAACTATGTCCTCCAAAATGAGACAGAAAAAGGTGAAAATGTTAAATTTTATGGTACATGCATTTTTACTGCAATTTTTAAATGTAGCAGAATTATAAACTTAAAGTTTAACTCATTCCAAAAAAAAAAAAGCAAATACCAACACAATGGGGCCCAAATCTCCTGCAGCCCATTACAGAAGACCGCGTGGCCTTGCCCCTGGGCCCTAGGTGGGGTCTCAGGCCTACCTGCCCTGCAGCCATGGCCGAGGAGCTCGGGCCTGCAGTTCCGCCACGTTGCCAGAGTCAGTGCTCCAGGCTTTTGTCTGTGGTGATGGTTTTAAGATAGTCCACATGGGAGGGGATGCGGCTCAGTGGCACAAGCGCCTGATTGGCAAGCTCAAGGTCCTGAGTTCAGTTCCTCGTACCAAAGAAATAAGTAAGTGCCCCAGTTACCTCAGTTAAGATGCATAAATGAAATACGTCCACAAATTCTCAGGCCCTGCTGCTCCTTCAGGAAATCGAGGAAATGGATTCCCCAGCCAGCAAAGTGACACCCCAGCCCCATGTGAGACAGAACCAGCCGGCTGCCGGCTCCCGGGTTCCTGAACCTCAGAAAGTCAGACGATGAACCTTTGCTGTTTGTAAGCGACTGCGCCTCTCCCTGGCCGCCCCATCCCCCAACCTCGCAGAGCATGAGACCTAGCGCACAGGGGACCCCATAAACATCTGTCAAGTGAGCGAAGCACACGTTCTGCAAGTGTCCACTCTGTGCTTGTGGCCCATAGGCCAGGACTGCTGTGAGCCTGGGCAGTGTGGCCTGCAACAGCCGTGGCCTCCGGCCTCTCTCCCCACGCACACTCAAGTTTTCCTCTGTGACAAGAAGATCTGGGCCCTCTTAGCCCCAGGCCTGACGCTGCAGCTCTGTTTATCTATGAGACGGGAGTGAGGAGGCCGTGTGGGAGATGAGCCGCGGCACACAGCGGGCTCTCGGCTGCACCCCAGCCCGCCACACTGCTGCAGGAGCGAGGCCACAAGGACACCCGCGTCCTCCAGCAGCCACAGGAGGCCACCCCTCCTGCACTGGCTGCTTCGCCTCCCCCATCCTCTCACCCTCCATGCCCACGCCTGCCGCCAGGCCTTTGACGAAGCTGTTTCCTGGCCGCGGAGCTGCCCAGGGGCCACTCCGCTCCCCCTCTCCTCCCTCCAATCCTTGCTCAAAGCATCTGCTCAGCAGCTTCACCGAGCACCTTCCTCCACCTCCCGAGGGTGACTCTCCGCATCCCATTACCCTTCCAGGACCCAGCCTTGTGATCGGGCTTACTGACCCCTTCCGGAAAATGGGCCCCATGAGGCAATGTTTTAGTCCTACTTATTCATTGCTGAATCTGCCGCACCTACCAAAGTGACTACCTGGTACCCAGGATGAGAGCTGTCAATACCGACGGATGATTGGTGGGTGGGTGGGTGGAGCGAAGGATGGATGGATGGATGGATGGATGGATAGATAGACGGATGGATGGAAGGATGGATGGAAGGATGGATGGATGGATGGATGGATGGATAGATGGATGGAAGGATGGATGGAAGGATGGATGGAAGGATGGATGGATGGATGGATGGATGGAAGGATGGATGGATGAATGGATGGATGGATGGAAGGATGGATGGAAGGATGGCTGGATGGATAGATGGAAGGATGGATGGAAGGATAGATGGATGGATGGATGGATGGATGGATGGATGGATGGATGGAAAGACAGGTGGGTGGATAGGTGAGTTGGTGGGCAGATGATGGATGGGTGGATGGACGGATGGGTAGGTGGTAAACATGGGAGGAGACTGAGCAGTCTTGTCTAGAGGTCATGAAATCAGCATCTGGGTTTGAGTTCCCTCCATTCTAAGACAGGAAAACCGAGGGTCAGAGATCGCTGGGCTTCCTAAGAAGGGGGTGAAATGTCCCGCTGTTTCTATCTGTCATCCCTGCTCCGGTAGAAGACTGAGGTTCCGTGAGCAGAAAGAGATGGGAGCCCGCACCCCGAGTCCCAAGTTTACTCTAGCTGTCCACCCACCTGGCCAACAGGTCCTGGGACTGAACTCAGGGCCTTTGCACTAACCTACATCTCCAGCCAGTTTTAAAATTTGTATTTTTAATTTTGAGGCGGTCTTGCTAAATTGCCCAGGCTGGGCTAAACCTTGGCGGTCCTCCTGCCTCAGCCTTCCAGTGCTGCAGGGATTACAGGCGTGCACCCCCACAACGGGCTGGAGTTGCCAATCTTGAAGCTGCCCCTGCCTGAGGCAGGAAAGAGAAAACTGACCAGAGCGGGCAGGGCAGGGACAGATGGCCACAGCCACTTGCCCAACACCCAGCATGCCAGAGAGCTTTGAGTTTCTGGAGTCAGGAGCACATCAAGGAGGAAGTGATCCCTCAAGGCCAGGTCCACCCAAACAAGGTCAAAGGCAGCATCAGCAAGGAATGAGCACCTTTCCCTTCCCGTCCCCTTGCATCCCGGGACAGGCCGGGACTCCAGCAAGAGGGCAGGACAGGAGAGGGGTGAGGCCCTGGCTGGCTGGGCTGGAGTCCCCGCTCCTGAATTCGGCTTTCAGGAACCAGGAAGGAAGGTTTAGCAGAGCTGGGCGGGTAGAGCGGCTGTCCTTCCTATGTGTGCCCAGGCAGGGGTCTGCCTGTCCTCCGACCTGGGTGCAGGAGATGCTCCCTGCTGGGCACAGCTTTCGGGGCACTGCAAGACACCCGGAGAGGTGGGATGTGCTCAGCGAGAGACTTCGCACACCCAACGGGGGACGCTGGGGGAGGAGCAGGGGCGGGAGAGGTCAGTAAGGGGGCCCAGTGCCCACGTGCTTCCCAGGAGGACGCCAGCATGGCCTTATGCCACTTTCCAGATGGGAACCTGAGACCCAAGGTGGGGGAGCCCTGGCGCCATGGCAGGCATCAGCTGGAAATGAGCCCCTTCTGGGCAACAGGAGTGGGGTCAACCGAGGTGGGTGGCTGGGTGTCCCCGAGGCCCAGCCGCAGCCTGCAGGGCCCAGGTGGGTCTCTCTGCCTCCCACCCCTAACCTTTTGCAGCCTTCCTGGCCTGGGGGGCTGCAGCTGCTGTGGCCTGTGAGGGAAGCTGGGTCTCCATGGCAACACTGACGTCAAGGGCCAGGCTGGGAATGCGGCCTCCTGCCCCCAGCGGCTGCCAGGCCTGGTCCCAGCCCCAGTCCACAGCAGCTGGGCCCCCATCTGTCGGGAGCTGCTGACCCTGCCCTCTCATCTGTCCCGTCCAGGCCAGGATGCCGGAGGCAGACAGGTGTAGCCAGATCGCCAGATCTCACAGCCTGCCGCCTTCCTGATTTCCTGGTTCCTCCCGTCCCTTTGTCCTCCTTTGTCCTCCTTTGTCCTCCGACTGGGCTCAGGCTAGCTGCTGGCGTAAGGAACTCCACTTCCTGCTCAGTCTGTGTGGCCCCTCCCAGGGACGCCAGGCGGGTGGGAGGTGGACCCTGGCCTCCTTCCCTGGGTTTCTCCTCTGACCCTTCCACAGTACAGCCAGGGAGGGGGGACAACTCCCAGAGTGTCATGTGGCCCCTTCCCCATCCCTGCCCTGGATTGAGACCCCAGGCTGTGCCCTGTGCCCAGCTGCTCAGTCCCCACTTCCTCCTCCTCCATTCTGGCTGGCCCTGCTGCAGAAGGACCAGCCTGGCCTGCGGCCTCTGCACATGCCGTTCCCTGCTGTCAGGTGGGACCGAGGCTCCTCTGCGCCCCAGACCCCTCTCAGAGGCTCCGAGCCGCAGCCTGGGTATGGTCTGCCTGTCTGATGGCCGCCTCCTCCCCAGCCTGGAGGTGACCTGGTGTCCCCTCTCTTGCTCACTTCCAGTCCCCAGGACCTGGCGCAGAGTGGGTGCTTGGCCCCTCTCCCCTGCCTGGGCCGCTATGTGGTTTTGGTTTTCAGTGCCAGGGATCGAACCCAAAGCCTTGCACAGGCTCGAGCAGTGCCCCGTGGCTGAGCTCCGCCTCCAGGCTGAGCAGGACTCACCCGCCCGTGTGTCACTGGGTAAAGTATTCATGCTAATGATGACATCGCCACCTTGCTGGAACATTTTCTTCACCCAGAAATGAAACCCCGAATCTGAGGACAGCACCCACCCCCAGGTCCCCTCTGCTCCTAAGCAAATCCCAAACTTATTCCTGTCTCTAGATTTCCCGTCCTGGACGGCACAGCATGAGACCTCTTGGGTGCCGTGTGAGGGTGAGGCTGGGAGGAGGAGGAGAGGGCTGGGGACTCGGCTCAGTGCAAAGCCTTGGGTTTGATTTCGGTCACACAGCTGCACACACACGCACCTTGGCCCACTTTCCAAGTGTGGTGTCAGACCGAGTCAGGCTCCCCACCCCACCCCAGCCCCGCCCAGCAGCGGTGCTGCTTCCCTGGCTTCACGGGGTGCCATTCACCCACTCCTTGCCTCCTTTGCCCTGAAGCGCATGCTTAAGATTCCCTTTCCTGCCTCCTAGGTGATCGCCCCGTGGGCCTCTGAGCCTGTGGCCTCCTGGACTCTGGGTTCAGCCAACTGCGGATCGAAGGTACGCGGAGGAAACCACCTCTATACTGAGTGTGCGTGGATGGTTCTTCGAGTCATTTGCTAAACGTGTGATAACCAGTTCCTTGGCGTTTGCATCATGTCTGATGTGACGAGCAATCTAGGGGTGATTCAGTATGGGCTGTTCGTAGGCTGTATGCAAAGCCCACACCACTGGATATCGGGCACCTGGGCAGTGATCTGCAGAAGGCAGAGGTCCTGGAGCCAGAACCTGCAGTATTGAGGGATGGCTGTGCTCTTATTAAGAATAAATTAGAATAGGGAGACACTTGCTTTCGGTTCGTTTTTTAGTCGAGGTCTCAATGTGTATTCCAGGCTGGCCTTGAACCTGTAGCGACCCTCCTGCCGCAGCATCACCCAGTAAAAGGCTGTGACTTCCTGGGGTGCAGAAGTTTACATATCAGGAACTGAAGCAACAGCCCCCTAACCTCACTCGCATGCTGAGTTACGCAGACTGGTCTCCCCGCACCCCCTTCTCCCTGCGCACCGCAGAGGGGCCTGCTCCCCGCCGGCCAGCTCAGCCCGCCTTGCCCACGCGACTCCCGCCATCCTCACTGTCACTCACGCTGGAGCCACCCTCTTCCTCACGGGATCACACTTCCTGGGAGAGGCCTTAGATCAAGGCTTTGGCCTGTGTGTCCTCATTAGATCAGGCTTAGGACCGCTTGGCGCCCCATAACTATAGCTACTGCGAGCTGCATTGAAGGTGGTGGCCTGGAATTAACTCACCGGGATTCCAGTAATGTATCAATAGAATTACCAACATAGTGGGAAAAGGGATTACAATGTGTGGATTACAATATTCTAAGGGTTTGCAATATAAAATATTGGGGTTACAATCCAAATACAGCTCCACGCCTGCTGTCTGCTTCTTACCGAGTAGCCTGGCTCTTGCTTTACAGAACTTGGGGCTGGGGATTTAGCTCAGCGGCATAAGCGCCTGCCTGGCAGGTGTGAGGTCCTGAGTTTGATTCCTGGTTAAAAAAAGGGAAAAGAACTGTAGGATTGTGCTGTCCACGCGGCAGCTATTGGCCACGTGAAGCCCAAACTGTACCCTGATCTCCAAGGGCTGCTGTGGGGAACCGGTGGAAAGGGCTCATTATCTTCTCACACTGCTCACACACTGAAATGATGACCCTGTTGCTAGGTTAGGCCACGACACAACCCATCACTCAGATAACTTCTGCCTGTTTCTCTTCAGGATTCCAAATGTGGCTCCTGGAACATTCTAGTGGGCCCCGCGGCTGTGCAGTCCTCCTGTTGGGCAGCAAGCGTGGACATCAGCCCCCCACCATGCTCCTGGAACTCCAGGCAGTGCTGAGCAGCACTGCTGCCCCCTGAGCAGCCCGGAGGGGATCCCGACCCCACTACAGACCCCGAGAGCCCCGTTAGCCACTGGGGGGTGGGCGACAGTCCCAGGAAGGCGCTGCTTGGAGGGGGAGCCTGCCCCAGAATGGGGGAGTCCCCCTCCCAGGTGCGACAGCCCCTCCTCCCTGGTACAGGGGCACTTGGGGGCCCATCTGTCCTTCGTACCTTAGAGGGAAGCAGCCCCTTCCATCTGGTCTGTGCTGGATCCCAAAGCCCCCGGGGCTGGTTTTGTTCGGGAGCAGCTGTCTGTGTGTGGATCCCTGCCTACTCCCCAGGGGTGGGCTCGGTGGCCCACAACTTCCTGCGCCTAAGCCCTGGGCTCTCACACTCTGCTCACAGGGACGCGGATTTAGGTCACAGTCCCGATGCTGCTGTCTTGAAATTCGTAATGTTTGTTAAGACGGCCAGCTCTGAGGTCAGGCTTCTCCAAGCGGTGAAAGAGTTCAGCGTCCCTGGCGACCTTGGGGAAGTAGAGTCCAGGGAGAGCCCTGTGCGCTGCGTCCGATGAGTCTGCTGTGGACACGGCTGCTCCCCCGACTCTGCAAAGGGAGCGAGGCTGTGATTGGGCCCGGGGTTCCCCGCCCTGACCGCACGTTAGAACCCTCCAAGGGGCTTTTAACCTGCATTTCCGGCTGCACCTTTGTCAGACCCACCGAGCCCCGCGGTCGGCACGTTTACAGCCTCCCCAGCCGACTCCAACGTGCAGCCCGCACTTGGAGGGCAGCACCCGTAAACCTAATGGCCATGCACCTGGGGACCTTGTTAAACATCCAGGCTCTGATGCAGGAGGGCTGGGCAGAGCCAGCTGAGACCGCATTGCTGATTCTCACACTGTGCTCACGCAGCCCACCATCGACCACATTTGGACTAGCGAACTCAGCTGAGGTCCTCGTCCTGGTACATAGAAAGAGAACCTAACATCACACCATGTACAGCTGAGCAGGCTGTGCATTGCACAAGTCGGCCAAACGGAAGGTAGCAGCCTTTCATGTGTAGGTGTGTCTTGTTATCAGGACGGGTTTCCAGCAGGTGGCAGCAGAGCGTTTTAAGGAAGGAGCCTGATCAGCTAACAGGCTGGCCAGGTGTAGCTCCCAAAGGATTCCTGCCGGCAGGACTCACCTTCCCAGGGCTGGATGCAGCTGAACAGCAGCCACTAGGTTGTCATTTAACACCTGCTTTGGGGCTGCTCCTCTTTAATCTGAGGTATAATATTCGTTGAAAAAAAAAAACCAACCCCAAACCCATTAAACAGTGCCTGTCTAGTCTCTTTCGATTCCAGCCCCTGACAACACTGATCTGAGCTCTGTGGATTTTCTTTCATACAAACAGAATCATACAAGACATGTTCTTTAATGCCTACCTAACATTGTATTTTTAAATTTAATTTATGTGCTTACTTATTGCTACCGGGAATCAAACTCACAACCTTGTGTTTGCCAGGCAAGTGCTTATGCCACTGAGCTGTGTCCCTGGCCCCTAGTGCTGTTATTTAAGACTCATTGGGTTGTGGCACTGGGCCCTGAACCAGGGCCTTCACACTAAGCTACATTCCCCTTTTAAAAACTTACTTTGGAGACAGGGTGCCGCTGTTTCCTGGTCCTGTTGACGCTTCCCACAGTGGCTGGTCCCTTCCCCTGCCGCCCCCACCCCGGGTCCTTGCAGCCTGGCCGGGAGACCCCTCTGTTGTTAGGCTCTGGCCACATGTCCCCAGGGGTTTCCCAGCCTCCTCCTGGGCCTCGTCGTATCTCAGGCTCCCCAGAAGCAGACACCGAGGTGGGGTTCAAGGATGGGCAGCTACCTGGGGAGCTGTGAGGGGACATCAGTGGGGACCAGGGGAGCCAGGGTGTGGAAAGAAGGTCCCGACCCAACGGCCAGCACCCAGGGCCAGCGAGGCTTAACACCAGGCAGGGACTCTGGGAGTGCGAGAAAGGGGTCCGGGACTGTCCTCTCCCCTGAGGAACGGGACCCCAGGGTGCTCACGTGCCAGCTGGCTCCCCTGTAGGGTGGCCCTGAGCAGCCTCCCTGTGAGAAGCTGGGCCTGGAGCGCCTCCTGCACCCCGCCCTCACCCTGTCTCAGGCCATCATTTCCCTGCGGGTTTCACCCAGGCTCCCCGGAAGCCGTTTCCCCAGTGACCCCAGCCCCCACCTCACCTCACCCACTCACTAGCCAGCAGCCAGAGACTGCCCCACGAGGCCCGCCTACAATCTTGGTCTCACTGTGTGACCTTGACCAAGAGACCCAGCTTCTCCCGCCTCATCGTCCACAGGGTCATGTTAGTGCCTGGCTCCTGGCTTTGCCAGGAGGGCTCCTGTGCCCGGCACACAGGAGGTGCTACCACGATCAAAAGAGACGGTGAATAAATGGGAACATTTTCTTCCAGTAAAAGGCGTTGCCATGGATCCGCATCAGGACACCCTTGGCTCTGCACGCCTTTCCCTCCGTCCTTGCCTCTTCCTGAAGGAAGCACTTCTGCAGGTCCTCTGCCCTGGGTGTCGTGGCGGCCTCCCTCCTGAATGGACTCAAGACGGGGAGCCGTCGTGGCCTCTCTGACTTTAAGAGCAGGAAGCAGGCAGCACCGGCTCCAGGGGACAAGGTGGCTGGTGACACACTGTGACGGTTTTAGCGGAATGTGCCCTTTCACTGGATGGCACAGGGCAGCAGCACTCACAGTCTGGTTGCACGCTGCACAGACGCTCCTGGCGGAGGACCTGCAGAGCGGCTTCCAGCAGCAGCACGGGGGCGGTTGGAGCGCTCGGCGCAAACACTTTATTTAAAAATAAGTAGAATAACTACAGCTTGTTTTCATCTTCTTCCTCCTCAGGGAAGCTCCAGGCTCCTAAAGGTGATGCTGGGTGACATGGCCTGTCTCCCCTTCACCTGTCCCCCTAGCCCAGCATTTTCCAGCAGCGCATGTTGAATAGTGGCCCCGGCAAGCATCCGCCCCTGGAGCCTGTCAGTGTGATTTGGGAGAGTGGGTCCCTGCAGATGTGCCTAGGATCTCACTCCAGAGTCCAGGGACACTTTGCTACTAACAGGGGAAAGGGACACAGACTCTGGTCAGAAGTGGGACAGAGCCGCCACCAGCCAGGGACAGAGGGGCCCCGGGCTGTCCACACCGTGAGCCGGGCCATCTCCATCCCTGAGCGCCCCCAGCGTGGTGTCTGCAGGGGCAGCTACAGGAGACCCTCAGAACCCAGCGCTTGGTGGCAAAGTGCCCCTAGCTGGGTGGCTTGACGTGACAGGACTGTGTTGTCTGCAGACTGAAAACCCACAAAGCTTGATTCCTCCAGAGTCCAGTACAAGGATGGGTTTCCTGCCTCTCTTTGGGTGGCTCTGTACCCTGGGCTCCCCATTTATGGTCCTATTGCAGTTGGGCCCACCCTGGGGACCTCCTTCTAACTTGATGGCCTCTGCAAAGACCTGGCTCCAAATAAGGTCATTTTCCAAGGTGCTGGGAGTTTGGATGTCACTGTTGGGAAGCACAGTTCAGCCCCAACAGTGACATCCCGAGCCTACCGCCCTCTCTCCTCCCACAGTTGCAGAAAGGTCCGTGTGGACCCTGTCTGGCCCAGGGCCATGCCTTGGCCTGATCCCGTCCCTTGCTGGTGACTTGGTGTGTCCCTGGCTTCAGCGCCACCTCCTCCAGGAAGCTACCTGGCTCCCATCCGTCTCAGCACCTGTGCCTGCCTTGCATCAGGCAGGTGGCACATGCTGTGTGCCCAACTCCCAGCTTCAACACTGGGCCCAAGGGCAAGGGTCACATGCCCTGCTGTGCCTTTTTTGAAGGTGGCTGATGCCCAAGAAGCTGCTCCTATCAACGTCCACAGTGAGTCTGGCGCTAAGGCAGTGCCGTGGCTGTGTCACCATCAGCACCACCCCACTCGTCACCTCCAAATGTCCTCTCCCACCTTAGTTACAGGCTGGTAGCAAGGACCTGAGACGATGCAAGCAGGTGGGAGAGGGGCCGGACCTGAGGCGGGTGGCAGGACACCCCAGGATGGAGATCCTGGAAGGGGGTGGGTGGGAATAAATGGCATCTTCTTAGAGGAGTCTCAGCCGGGCTCTGGGGCGCGAAGAGGCCACCACAAACCAGCAGCAGCTGCTCCTCTAGGAAACTCCTTAGGGGCCACAATGGGGCAGGCCAGCCCAGGCCGGGGACAAACTGGGCACAGGGACCCCGGCAGCGCCCTGCAGTTCCGGCCCCCACAGACGAGTGTGCAGTCATCCAGGCTCCAGAAAGGTGGCTCCGCCCTCCCCAGCCCCCCCACCAAGCCGCACAGAAAGGCCAGGCACCAAGGAATCACTTACAGTTTATTTTTGCCTGAAAGTATTTCACATGTCTTTGTACACAGCTACGTGACAGTAGTATTAACCATCGGGCAAAGCGACAGGCGAGGGGGAAGGTGCGGGCCTCGTTTCTTCTGTTTTAAATTTTTAAATGTTGTGTGTGTGTGTGTGTGTGTGTGTGTGTGTGTGTGTTTTGGGTTTTTTTTTGCTTCTGTTTTTTCTGCACCGGAGTGCTATGGAATACGGAACCAGGGATGGGGTGGCAGGGGGGAGAGGAACTAAAACCAAACGAAAACAACAGAAAACAGAACACAAAACAGAATACACACGCACGCACGCACACGCACACGCACACACACATGAAATAAAACCTGGCACAGAAAATGAATGAAGACTGAAACCCAATTTCTTTTTTTTCCCCTTTTTTAAAAAAATGAGGGCAAAGGGGGGTAATAAAGTCTACCTAGCAAAGTATAAAACGACAAAGCATGGTTTCCATCGAACAAGATTAAATATATATAAAACAATTACATCGACTGGGGTTCGGTTTGGAGGTGCCAGAGGGGAGATGTATTTGTGCTAAACCAACAGAAAAAGGGGCTGCGGGACAGGATGGACGGGGGATCCCAAAGAAGCCGCCAGGGTGGGCCGCCGGGGCTGGTCTGTACAGGGAGGGCTTGTTAAGAAAAAGCCGGCTGTTGATAAAAGACAAGGACGTCGGTTTGTCCGGAGCAGGTGGGGACAGAGGGACGTCTTCGCTGCAGTGGTCACACGGGTGGGGTGTACAGGCAGGCTGGCGGGTGACGCCTTTCTCTTCTCCCAAGAGACCATGCAGAGAGGCGGAGACAGGCATGCGGGACGGGACGACGGGGGCCCACAGTCTTAGCGGGGGACGGGGACACAAAGACCGCTGGACACAGGGACTTGTGAGAGGGCGGCTCCTCTACCAGGGAAGGACCAGGAGGGGGGTGAGCCGCCCCCTTCCAAACCTAGAAAAGGGGGCAGCTTGGACCTTAGAGGAGCAAGAGGACGAGGTGGGGACCCCCTTTCTCCCTCCTTCCCCCAGCCTGGCCCTTACCTACGAGGAAGCGGAGACACCTGGGAATCGGAAATATACAGGTGGGCAGGGTGAGTGGACAGACAGACGGATGGACAAGCATCAGCATGTGGGATCCATTACGAAAAAGCAATTAATTTGCCAGGGAGGGTCTTTTTTTTTTTGTTTTTTGTTTTCTTTTTTTTTTTTTTTTGTCTGTTCCCTTTAAAAAAAATAACAATAAAACTACCACTAACCCAACAGCCGACTGATTGGTACAGTAACTACACTCGGGGGGGGCGGGGGCGGGGACAGGAAGGGGGTCAGACTTCATAAATAAGAGCAGGTCCCAGACCCACAATTTGTCAACATCTCTTAAATAGGTGCATTATTTAAATCTTATGTACAACAAGAACCACTTTGCATAGCAATGGCAAGGACACAGGACGGCGATGACAGGACTGGGTCTTCGGGTCCCCAGGGTGGCGAGGGAGCTCTCGGCTCCGCTGGCCACCCCCCTGCCCGCTCGCTGCCGCCGCCACCGGGAAGAGAGCAACCGTGTCCGGCCGGCGAGATGGTGGTGTCCCAGGGCCTTTCCACGCGGCGGCGACAGCAGCAGTAAACAGAAAGGCAAAGAAAATCCACGAAGGGTCCCCACCCGCCTCCCCACCCTCCCGACTGGCTGACTCCGCTTGTTCCCCTGGTTGCCGACGACAATGTCCGTTTTTAGATCAGGCCAAAGGTTCCGATTGTGAAGCTAAAAGAATCCGGCGGCCCCGGTGGGCTGGCAGAGCCCTCCCCTCCGCCCCAGAGACTCCCCGTCTACCCCGCAGCCAGGCGCCGGGCACCCGTGTCACTGCTCCACGGCTGTTAGTCGCGTCGTGGCGGCTGCAGCGTCACTCTGCCAGGCCGGAGCTTCACCAGGCTTCTGTGTAGCGCACGTCCACCTCCTTCAAGTTAGGAAGCTTGGCCTGCGGGCAGCAAGGGGGTCCCGGTCACCCACCAGCCTCTGTTTGGGAATCTGGCGGGCCCAGCGCCACCCTCTGGGGGAGCTGGGCTCTGGGAGGCTCCGGGTCAGGAAACCAGAGTCAGGCGGTGGGGGAGGCGCGTGGCTGGGGTGCACGGCAAGAGCCCCTGGCTGTGGGAGGCTGGGGATCTGGCTTTGGGACACAGCGACTGGACCTGATCTTGGCTCTGCCATGGACTGGCTGTGTGACTGAGCACACGGCTGGGCTCCCTGGGCCTCAGCTTCCTCACATGGAGAGAAACTGAGTTAAGTCCCCCCTGGCTCGAAGGACATGGTAGGGGCTGAACACACACTTGCCATGTGCACACCCCTCCCACACGCATGTGCACATGCACATACACATGCATGCACAGCTCCTGGGCCTGGTGGCCCTCAGGGGCTCCCCACGGCCTGGCGCATGGCAAGCTGGGGGCCTGCATAGCATAAACGAACTCAGGCCCTTCTGAGTGAGGAGGCCACAGAGCAGGAGCCGGACCTCGGGCTTCTCTCGGAGACTAGACAGAGTGGGCAGGACAGGGCAGAGGCCTGCGGCTTTGCCCGCCTGGTGCTGGGCAGGGCCTCCCTCCTGTGCCAGGACAGCGTGCTCTGGGCAGAGGTCACGGTGGCCACCCCGCAGTGTTCCCACCCCAGCCCTTCCTCTGCACGGCTCCTGCTGTGGTTGCACCTGCGCCTTCTGAGGCCCAGGACAGGGATGAGCAGGAGGAGAAAGACAGGGATGGGCTGGTGGCTGCTGGTGCCCCACACTCCCACCGCCCAGGTCCTCCCCCTAGCCGACTCTGTAAGGCTGCCTTGTCCCGCTGGGGCATGGCTGTGTGACCCAGAGCCCCACAAAGCTCTCCCTGCTGCCATGCTGGCTCCCACTCAGAAGCCTCCTGTAAAACTCAGCCCACTGCCCTGCTGAGCCCTGGAGGTGGCGACTTCCTCCTGGGCTTAGTGCAACCCCAAGTCCTTCTGCTTCCACAGAATTTTCTTTGCTTCCAGCCCCTCATCTTTAAGTGATTCCCATCTGCATATGGTACACCATCAATTCCTGCCCATGTCCTGCCTCAGGGCCTTTGCACTTGCTCTTTCTCTGCCTTGGGTTTCCTAGTCACATTCTCAAGATGTGTGGCCTCTTCTTTGGAGCCATCATGCCTGGTAGTCTGAGGCCTGCAACTGGGCCCTACCCAGGTCCAGTTTCCATTTGGCCCCTTGACCAGCTGGTATAAGAGCTGGTGTAATGGACAGGCAGCTAGACTGCACCTAGATGCACAGGATGGCCTGGGGGAGAGAGGGAGGGAGTTACCTTCAGATCTTCGTAGGTGTCGGCCGAGAGCTTGGTGCTGTTCATGTTTAAACTGCAGAGACTCTTCATGGCTGTGCAAGGGCAGACAGACAGACAGACAGTGAGACAGTGTGGGGCCCAGCTCAGGACTGGCTGGCTGGCAGGTCACCTGTGCAGGAGGTGGGGGCTCAATGTCACCCGTGTGACCCCCAGATCGAGGGGCTCTGTCAGGCAGTGCTGGTAGCAGCTGGGGTTCTCTCTCTGCCAGTCCCTGTCACATCTCCCACTGTGAGCACCAACGTCCCTGAAGCCCAAAGGACATGCCCTGGGTCCCCCACACAGGCTGGGTCTGCAGCCCCTGTGGGCATCCGGGATGTCCTCCTGGTGGGTGCTGACTCAGGCTCAGCTCCTTGAAAGCAAACCTGGGCTTGGGTTTGTGCCAGAGCCCCGTGGGAGTCCCGTGGGCCCTCGTTAGAGCCATGTGGCCCCTGCCAGCTCCCAGGCATGCTGAGGTGGGGGTGGGGAACCTGCCTCGGGCCTGGGACTTGGGGGAGCACAGCTGCAGAGAATGGGCCCCACCTGGTCCCTCGGGCCCCCGCCCACCCAGAACCTGCCAACCTTGCAGGGTCATGGTCACTCCTTACAGTAGGGTCACCTCCTATGACCGGTCACCACACTAGACCCCTGCTGCCTCCCGGGAAGCCTCCAACCCTTGCAGCTGAGCCACAGAGCCTTGAGTCTAAAGCAGCAGATCCGGAAATGGGAAGCTGATCAAATGCAGACTCCCAGGCCGTGAGATGATTTCAATAAATCAGGACCAGGGCCCAGGAGCCAGCATTCCAGGTTTCCTGTGTGGTCCAGCTCCTTCCATTAAGGAACACTTCTCACCCTGGGCCGGGCCTGGGAATCCCGTCAGGTCTGGAAAGCCTGGGAAACTGCATTTCCCACCAGCTGACAGGATGGGGTGGCTGGGGGAGACTACAGCAGTGACACCCTAGGACACTTGGTTTGCACACAGTCACTCAGCAGATGGGCGGGGAAAGGCTCAATTCTCCCTTTCCACTGCGCTCCAAGCTCCATGAGGGCAGGGGACTGCGACCCTAACCCCCAGCTCCAGCACCCAGCACCCAGCCCATGCTCGGCACAGGGCCCAGTGTGCTGCAGGAGGACTCACAGCTGAGGGCCAGCAGGCCGGCGTCGGTGACTGGGGTCTCGCACAGGTTCAGCACCTGGAGCATGGTGAGGTGTTCTGACAGGAGCCGCAGGCCGGCGTCTCCAAACTGCAGGACACAGTACACTCAGGCCTTGCCCAGACACCCGAGGGACGCGACCCCAGGGCCAGGCAGAGATGGAGGGAGGTGGGGCTGAGTCCACCCACCCCAGGGCTTCGGGTCCGGCTCCCTGAGAGGTACTTCCTGGGGTGACCAGAAGGCTGGGCTCGGGCAGAAAGGGCAGGGGTGGAGGGGCAGTGGGCCAGGAGGTGGGCGGGCACACCTGAGTGGACCACAGGTTGAGCTGCTTGAGAGACGGCAGCTTGATGAGGTGTTCCGCGCAGGCACTGGTGACGTTGGTGAAGGCCAGGCTGAGGTTCTCCAGGTTTCCGAAGGAGCCTGAGCTCAGCAAGCGAGCCAGGTCAGCGTCCTGGGGACATGGGGGCGGGGGCGGGGCTTAGGGCAGCCAGGGCTTGCAGAGCGCACCGCAGTGGGGCCTCCCCTTCCCCAGACCTGCGCTGTGCCTGCCCAGCAGAGCTGTTGCCTGTGTCCTGTAGGTGGCACCATGGTGGGGCTTGAGTGGGGACTCCCAACCCGAGTCACCACGGCTGGCCTGGGGCCATGTGCAACACGCACACATCTCTCAGGACCCTGACCTTGCTCCTGCCTGAATGGCCACGCACCCGCCAAGGCCACCTCCCTTCTGAGCCCTCAGAAGTTAGCAAGCGCTGGCTCTGGATGCAAGGGTCAGGGGCGCCTGTGTCCCCCGCTGCAGCTGAGGCCACTCAGGGCCAGGCCACTGCCCGGCCCCCTCTGCAGCCCAACCTGGACGCCTGGCGTGAACGGCACTTCTAGGAAGATTCCTACGAGGAAGGGCACATTCTCCCCTGCCCCTTCCTCCTTCCGGTGGCTGGGACGAAGACACAAGGGCTGGAGCTTGGGCAGACTTCTAGGTCCATGAGGGGCTGCCATGTGTCAAGGGTTGGGGACAAGCAGGGAGAAGGAAATGGGAGGGCCGATGGGCACCGACGCGGTGGCCGTAAAATGAACCAATGGCGTGGTGCCTGGCACAGAAACACCGTCTGTGGGTTCCTACGATCATCACCACCAATAACAACTGGTCATGTATTACCCTTAACATCAGCAATAATATATGTACTTATTTATTTGTTTGCAGTGCTGGGGACTGGGTCCAGAACCTCGTGTGTGCTAAGCAGGTGCTTTACCACCGAGCCATGCATGCACCATCCACCAGTCGTCTCTATTGTAATATTTGAATTTTCTTTTAGGTTTTTCTTTTTCTTTCTTTTTTTTTGGTACTGGGGATCAAACTCAAACCTTGCACTTGCCAGGCCCGGTGCTTACTCCCCTGAGCTGAATTCCCAGCCCTTCTTTTAGGTTTTTTTAAATTTGTTTTCCGGAAATGCCCTTGCTTTCCTGTCACGTGCTGGGGGGCCCTCGTCACCTGCCGCCGCCCTCCCTGCCCCACACAGCGCCCGGCACACTCACTGTGGACTTCGAGGGCAGTGTGAGCCTGGTGGGCCCGCCTTTCCTTTGCTGCAATGGAAAAATGAGGGGTGAGGGTTGAGCCTCGGTCCCACCCGGGGCCCCACTTTGAGCTCCCCTCCTGGAAGCTCGGTGCAGGGGAGGCTGGGTGGCCATCCGAGCGCAAGCCACGCTCGGGTTTATGACAGAAACACAGCGAGGAGGTGGCGGTCACCCCGAGGGTGGGGGGTTAGGGTGATGCCGAGTCCTGGGCATCGGGCGGTCCTGGGAGGTGACACGGTGTACCCTCTTTCTCTGTCCTGCACACACAGTGTGGACAGAGATGCCCTCGGCGACAGGGTCCCGGGCAGTGACTGGAGGAGGGCCTTGACTGGGGTGTTGGGAGGTTGGCGCTGACGGGGGACGCTGTCAGTTCCAGCCCGGCCCTGCATGAGCAGGAGACCCAGGCCGTTTGCTTATCTTTCTGTGCCTCTTCCCATCACTAGAAAGGGCTGGCAGGACCCCAAGCTCCGGGGTTGGAGGAGGGGCGGTGGCGGTGGCTGTGGGGGCGCAGGGCGGGACCCACCAGCTCCTTCAGCTCCCGCTGCCGGTCGCACAGCTGCTCGTACATGCGCTTGCCCACATCCGTGCTCTCTAGCGTGGAGATGATCTGCAGCTGGGTGTCGTTGTTGTCGATGATGTTGTACTCCAGCATCAGGCACAGGATCTGGGGGACACACAGGGTGACGGGCGCCTGCGACCTGCGACAGGCTCCCAGAAGGGGCGGGGTGCCAGACCCTGGCCCCGAGCAAGGCAGGGACAGGCGCACAGGAGGCACGGAGGACAAGGCTGCTCCTTCACCCGGGTCTACAGCAGTGCTCAGAGCACAGGGTGGGAGCAGCTCGCAGGGCTGGGGCACAGCAGGACAAGTTTCCTGGGGACGTGGTGTGTCTGCCAGGGCCACTCTCCTGCCCTAGTCACAGGAAGCCAGGAACAAACCCAGCTCCTCTGGCTCCAGCCACGCCCTGTTACTTCCCTCTAGGCTCACCACGCCCCACCATCCTGCATTTGAACAAGCCTCTTTCTGCCACAGGGCCTTGGTATACGCTGTCCCCAGCTCACTTCTAACCTTTCCTTGGTCCTCAAAGCTCACCATCGCTCCCATTGGCTTGGGAAGCTCATAATTTTATTATTTTTGTGAGCAGGGTCTCACTACCTAGTTCAAGCTGGCCCTAAACTCACCATGTATCCCTGGCCAGTCTCAAACTTGCTGAAATCCTCCCACTTCAGCCTCCCAAGAGCTGGGAAGACAGGCAGGCATCACTATATCCAGTTGGAAGCCTGTGGCTCTAAAACAGGCCCCTCCTGTCCCCTGACTAACGGGCCGGTGTCCTGACTTACTCCCCCAGGCTGGAATGTGGCAGTGCCTCCACCAGATTCCCAAGGTTAAGCTAAAAATGCAATGCAGCTTCTGCCTGGCTTCTCTGGGACGGTTGCTCTGGGAATCTCGGGCTTCTGGGGCATGGAGGTGGGCAGTGGGGACAAAGGAGGAGCGGAGGGGGAGAGAGGTGACATGCCCAAGATCCAAAAGCAAACTAAATGCAGATACTGGTGGCTTTTTTTGCTTTTTTTGAGACAAGGTTTCACTATGTATCCTAGGATGGCCTTGAACTTGCTCAATCCTCCTGACTCAGCCTCCCGAGTGCTGGGATCACAGGCGTGCACTGCCACACCCAGCCACAGCGTTGTTCAAAGTCCCCTCTTGGGGCTATTCTGTTGCATGGCAGTAAATGACCAGACCAGAGACCTCCCGGTCCATCTACCAGTGCCCTGGTCCCAACGGGAACGACAGCCACCTGACAAAGGTGCCCCCGGTGCCCTGGCCTTGCCCACCTCTGTCCCCACTCCTGCCATAGCTCTGGGCTCATCAGAGGTCTCTGTCCCTGAGGAGGAAGGGGCCCCGGCCGGCTCCTTACCTCCACCATGGTCTGGTTCCCCCTCAGTGCCAGGAGCATGCAGGGGCCCAGCTTGTTTTCCGCCAGGGAGAGCAGGAATTTTTTGGTCTTGTAACAGGAGCCCATGAGGATGTGCACCTGTGGGGGAGAAGGCCCAGGTGACGTAGAGCCGCGGGGTGGGGCAGGCAGGCCGGCAGGACATAGAGGCCCTTGCTGGGGACGTGGGAGCCATGGTCCCCAAACCTTGAGCACACCATGCCTACTGCAAAGGGACATGTGACTCGGGGCGCCTGGGACAGCCACCTCCTGAGGCAGACAGTGGCTGTCGGTGGGGGGGCAGCCAGGTCACGAGAGTTCTGGAGATGTCCTTTGGAAATAAGTGACCTGGGGGCCGTGACACTCAGCGGGAGCAGCTAAAATGTGGCATGGCTCCCCTAATACAGGAGATCCCAGCTCTGAGCAAAGAGGGAAATAAAAGAGGGTAAGAGACAGGAGGTGGGTTCTGCAGAGGCTGAAGGAGACGGCCTGGGAGAGGGGAGGGGACAGGAAAGTGCGTCAAGCCCCAGCCGAGAGTGATCACTGAATCACAAGCCGTACTCCCGAGAAGCCGCAGAGATGGTTTGCCACCGACACCTAATGCCACTGAGACGTAGGCCTAAAGACGGATGGAGCGGCCACTTTCACACTAGGCGTCTACGTTACCACATCAGAAACAGAAGCCCCTGCAGCTCCCTCTGGGCCATCTGCTGTCCACGGGTGCCCTGAATCCCTAGCATGTTAGCGCTGCTGGAACCAGGTGGCAATTTCTGGGCAGCCTTTGCTTGGGGGCACTCAGGTCTGGCTCTCATGTGGGGTCAGGGCGTTTCACACCCCACTTCCAAGCTCCGAAGGGCATCTTGGGGACGTGTGGCCTGAGGACTGGCAGTCTATTCCGTCCAGGGTTATGTGTTGGGGGCTTGGAGGGGCCCCTGAGCAACTGAGCTGGGGAGGAGGCCCCCCCCCCCCCGCCAAATTCACATGACAGCAAATGCCCTTCTGGATTGGAAATGGCAACTGAAGCCAGGGGACAGTGATCTTGCCGTGGTATCCATGGAAACCACGCATTTCCATCCCCGTGGCTGCCTGCCCACCCGCACCCCGCCCCCCTTCCCGCCGTGTACGTGTATTTTCTGCTCTGCCGTTAACAACCCTGGCATACAAATGAGAGCTCCCAGGCTGAGAGGCTGCCAGCTCCCCAATGCACTGAGTCCCCGCATTGGGGGGGGGGGGGCTGCCCAGCGTTGCCATGGTGAAGCTGTGACGTCAGAAGCGGCCAAAAAGCCGTGGTGAGGGCGAGGGTGGTGGTGCGGGCAGGGCTGGGCGTAGAGGACACTTGGGAAGGAGCCTGGTGGCAGCGGGAGGCGGGCGAGGAGTGGGTAAGAAACAGGACCTAAAAATAAGCCCCTCTCGAGTGGGGCCTCGAGGCAGCACCCCTCTGTGGTCATAGCACAAACATCTCTGCGGACGACCCAACTGCCCTGCAGGGGTGACCCTAACCCAGAGGGTGCCTGGCAGCTGCTGGCACAGGCCAGCTCTGCTCCCCTCCTCCAGGCGACTAAACGGGGAAGCTCAGAGAGTCAAGTGACCAGCCCAAGGTGGGCTGCCGTGCTTCCCGGGGTTGGGGATCAGGGGGGAATGGCGGAGCATGTGTCCTGTGACCTCTGCTCCTGGAAGAAGGGGCGGCCTCTGGACAGAGTGGGCTTGGCCACAGGAGAGCTCCCAGAAAAAGCCTGCGTGACCCCAGGCAAGGCACTGACCCTCCCTGGGCTTCCATTTCAGCCCAGGTGGTGCCAGGGCCACTGTGCAGATGGGGCAGGGCAGTGCGGGGCGGGTCCAGTCTGCACCAATGGGAGGACAGGAAGTCACTGTGGAGGCAGCTGTGGTTGGTGACCTCACCACCCTCAGCTGGGGTGGGGACGGTCACGCTGACCTGGCCACCTCCCTGAAGGGTTGGGTGAGCTGCTGGCTTGGCAGTGTCATCCAGAATCCCCGGCTCCTGCTAGCTACCTGGTCACCCGCATCACCACGGCTCCAAAGAGCTCCCTTGTGTCCCCACCTCCAGAGCTCCAGGCTCAGACAGGAAAGGAGCAGATGACAGCTGTGGTGACCATCATCACCTTCTGTGTGAGCACGCTTGGGGCAGCCGACCCCGCACCCCAGCAGCCCGCTCTGCAGCATACCATGCTGGCAAACAGCTCCCCGTCGTCGTCACAGGCCACCCCGCCAGGGCTGTAGAGCTGGAACCAGCCGTCCTTGCCGGCCCGCACACTCAGCAAGCAGGAGTGCACCTGTGGGTGGGGACAGTGCGGGCCGGGTCTGCATGGGGACCTGCTGACGCCCCGACAAGCCCAGCAGCTGGGGAATCTCTTGCTTCGCTTCATCTGTGACTCCTGGCCTTGTACTGAACTCCATGGAGGCAGCTGGGGACACTGGGTCTCTGTGCCCAGGGGTGCCCGGGCTGTGTCCCTTTCCAGGGCTGGCCACCAGTCTCAGCCTCCTTTCCCATGGTCCCGCCTCTCTCCACATGGCTGGGTCTCTGTCCCCGTCTCCTTGGACTTCTGCCTCCTTCCGTCTCCATTTCCTGTCTTCGCTGGTGTGAGCCCTACTCTCTCCCGGGGTCCCCACCCTGCCTAGCCGCCCTGGGACCTCCAAAGCGCATGCACCCCCGCTCCACTGTCCAGGGTCGGGGTGATGTCAGCGCCCAAAGCACAACCCTTGAATTCCTCCCTGAGCTGTGTGTGTTCTCTTGTGTGCACACACGTGTGCATCTGGGAGGAATTCCCCGTGCACTTGGGCCATGCCGTGATGAGAGAGGCGCACACGAAGGCCTCTGCCCACCACGCATCCCCCCATCCTCAGAAGTCAGCTGAGGAACGGCGCCATCAGTCCCCCAGGAGCCCTGACAGTCTGCAGCAGGGAGCCAGGCACGGCAGGAAGCCCGGCACAGCCCACGCAGGAGCTCCGAGCACACAGAGGCAGTGAGCTTCTGTGTCTTCCTGAGCCTGCACTTCCCCACTTCTCGGAAATAAGAACCCAAGTGCTACTCAAAAACTATGGCGAAGAACTTCAGGGGAAGCTGAGGCAGGAGGATTGTAAATTCAAGCCCAGTCTAGAAAACTTAGATCCTGTGTCAGATTAAAAGGGTGGGGCTGTAGCTTAGTGTGATGGCCTGGGGTTCAACCCCCAGTGCTGGGGGGAAAAAAAGGACCAAAAGAAGAACCAGAACCACAGGCGACAGCTTGTTGGGGGGGCTCTATTCAGGCCCCCAAAAGCTCTCTAACCTGTAGCCTCCTGAGGCCTAAGAGAGGTGCCTGCTGGGAAATCCCCCCCCCCTGCAGCTGGCTCCGCCCCTCCCTTCTGGGAAGCAGCCACACCTAATTCTAAGCTCTGAGTTCAAACCTAGGGTGCCTTTCCAGCAGGGTCCTGCGAAGCAGTCTTTGTGCAGACGACTGTTGGGACCTGGCCATGCCTCGGCTCCGCCCCTGGGTTGTGTCCCCCACCAACCCCAGCCTGAGGATTTAGAGTCTCCAAGCCATGTCAGAACCACGTAGGTACTGGTTCCAGACACAGGTGGGGTCCAGTCCAGACCCAGAGACCCAGGCCATGCAAGGGTATGTGGAGCCTGCAAGGGCCGGACCCAGGTGAGGCCATGGGTCTCTGTATCCCCAGACTGCCGTCTCAGACCCCACGCCCACCCTGTGGCCCAACACTGGCTTTCCTAGGCTCAAGTCAAGTTTCTGGCCTCACTTTGAGCCAAACCTGCCCTGCTCAGCCCCTGCCCTGGCAGCTCCCAAGAGAACGACTGGCGGCCTCCTCTGCCGTCATCCTGCTCTGTTAGGCACATGTGTCCAGGTCTGACCCTGTCACGGTTTAGAACCCGTGGGCAGGGAGTGGTGGGCCCCGAGCCCCCAAGGGCGTCCCAGTGTGCAGTGCGTGGTGATTCGTGTGAGCCTGGAGCCAGGATGCTGGGCTTGGGTCCTGTTCCAGCCACGCTTCCTTGGAGAGGTGACTTCACGTCAGTCAGCTCCACTCGGAAAGGAGGTGGCTCAGAGGTAACCTGGGACCCCTGAGAGGCTTGCGTGTGGGCTGAGCGGGTGCAGGCACGAGCCTCCCAGGCCAGCCTGTCACGAGGGGCAGGGGCCACCACAAGGACACAGCAAGGCAGTGGCTAGCTTGTCCCACGTGTGTGAGCCCTGAGTGGGCGTCCACCCTGTCCCTGGAAACCTCACATGGCCATGCAGGGAGGCCCCTGGCTGTCGGACCCAGGAAACCAAAACCAGCTCAGGTTCCGGTTCTGAGCCCTTTCTCATCCTGACCCATAAACGGCAGCAACAGGCAGTGTCACAAGGCCACCATGGGACAGTGGGAGTCCCCAGCCCGCACCCCCTAAATCAGGGCCTCTATGGCATGGAGAAGCCTCCAGCCTTGACCTCTGAGTCCACAGCAACACCAACACTACAGTAGATCCCTCTGTGTGCGGCTGTCCGCACTCACGGTGAGGGGTCTCTGAACTGTACCGTGGGCCTGGTAACCCTTATGGATCCTTGAGGGGCCCCAGAAGCCCTCGGAAGACCAGCTGCTCCCGACAGCTGCCTGTGATGCCCAATAAAGCCCCTGTGCCTCACCAGTGAACACAGGCTCACCTCTTGTCGAGGGTCTTCCGCGAACCTCTGAATCACATACTTGAGTTCCCTGGAAGAGACCGGGCAGGGAGAAATCACCCACAGGCCTGGGAGGATGTGGGGTACCAAGATGAGGGGCGACATCGGGCTGTGTAGCAGAAGGAACAGGGCGGGGCGGGCGGACGGGTGAAAGTTGTCTGTTTGCTGGGCCGCCTGTCCCAGGAAGAGGCACGGGGAGGCCGGGCTGCAAGGAGGCTGGCGGAGGAGGGGCGGCTCAGGGTGGAGGCCAGGCAGCCAGGGGTGAGGAGGATGCGGCCGGGTACTCACTTGGTGAACTTCTCGTGTGCGAGAGCCCTGCACCGGAGACAGAGGAAGCAGTTAGCGGGGCAGGAAGGCAGCCCGGGGCTCAAGAGAACCAACCCCCCTGGGACTTCTGGACCCAACTTGTGACCCAAGGGAGGCAGGGCGCTGGGAGGGAAGACGGACATCCTGTCCCTGCCCGAAGCTCCGAACACCGGGGTCCTTTGGGGAGATGATGGAGGGATAGGCTGCGCCCCCAAAGCCACCATCTGGCCCACACCTGTCAACAGCAGTGACCCCGCGGGTAGGGGGAGGGGGGGGGCTCCAGGGACCCAGGTGTGTTTGTTAATTGTTCCACAATTAAGGCTCGGTTGTGCTAATTACTGGTGCCCTTAGTAGGCAATCGGGACGAACTCATCACGGGCCATTGTCAAGTGCGCCCTGTGGGGACCCTGCTGCCGCCCATGACGCCATGGCCCTTTGGAGACCACAGCGGCTCCCAGGAGTCCGATTTCTCCGGTCTCCAGTCCTGAAGGGGCTAGGGGGGACTAGCAGGGCCAGCAAATGGGGCCATTACCAAGGGTAATGTCCCCTCAGGGGAGCTACATTTCATAAACACGGCGGCTCCTTAATGGGCTCCGCAGGGGCAGAGAGGCCGGCCGCCTCCCCAGGCTGCTGCTTCACAGCCAGCACGACAGAGGCACAGAGGCACGTGTGAGCACTCTGTGGGGACGGGGACTGGCACGAGGGAGGGACGGGAGAGGGGCCAGCGTTCCACGGCCCTGGACAGAGGGCAGTGACAGGGACTACTACCGTGTTCCACCTGCAATCCCTGCACACAGGAGGCTGACGCAGGAGTGCTATGATCTGAAGGCCAGCCCGAGCTACTCAGTGAGTTCGAGACCAGCCAAGACTATATAAAAGACCTGTCTCAAAACCACCACAACAAAAACCGCTACACTGACTGTACTCTGTGTGTTCCGAGCTCGAAGAATCTTCCCCAGGGGCCTGCGAAGCCCGAGGCCACTCCTATCAGAAAGGTGGTTTTCAGAGCGAGCGAGCTGAGCCTCACAGAGGTAATGGACCCTGGCATCTTTTGGCTGTGGGTCCCCAGCCTTCCCACAGTGACCTGGCACGTCCCTAGAAGTGAGAGCAACCCCTTAACTCACGGATTCCAGGACCAGGGTATGGACTTACTCTTTGGGGAATGGAATGGGTTGAAGCAGGCTGGCCAGAGATGGTCTCCAGTCATCATAGTCCGACCTAGGAGGAGACACAGTGACAGTCAGGTGTGGCCGGCCAGGTGGGCTGCAGACGAGACCCACTCCACCCTGCCCACTTCATCTGGGGTCTTACGGCTCCCAGTCAGAACCACCCAGGCTAAAGTAACGCGGCCATGGTCACCTGGCTCACACCCTCTGGGAGCACACCCGCTTTGCCCTTGAACGGAGTTCCACCTTCACTGATCAGTCCCTCTGTGGACCCCTTGGGAACATCAGGGGCTGAACTGTGTCCCCTGCCCCAAACCTATATGCTGAGTGACCAGCGCCGGGAAACTCCAAATGTGAGTGCACTTGGACAGGACTCTAAAGAGGCCAAATGACAGCATTCCGGTTGGCTCCTGATCCAGTCTGACCAATGTCCTCATAACAAGGAATCTGAGTGTTGTAGTGAACACCTATAACCCCTGCACTCAGGAGGCTGAGACAGGAGGATGGAGGAGGCGTTGGAGGCCATTTGGGGCTGCACAGGGAGTCTAAGAGCCAGGCCGGTGCTGTGCAGACTGACGCGCAGGAGACGAAAACCATACGCTGCGTATTTGAAGTCTGGATCAACATTCCTGATTTATTGGCTACCGCTTTTCCTGCCTTTCTCCTCCTACACCCGATGCAAACGGCAGCCTCAGCAGTGACAGGGGTAAGAAAAACCCCACAAGAACAGAAGCTCTGGTCTCTCGTCAGCACGTGCGTCAAGCTGGGCTCCTTTGTTATGCACAGGAGCACGGTGACGAGGCTCAGAGAGGAAGCCACTGTTCAGGCTCACTCGGCTGCACCAAGGTGGGGTCCAGCCCCGGCTTCTCTGGCTCAGAGCCTCAGCGCCCACCTGGCTCCAAAGCCCGCAGAGCAAAGCCAAACAGCAGCTTAGGGGAGGAAACAAGGCTCATGACAGCTGGCTTAGGTCAGAGCAAGAGGCTTCTGCACCGAAGAGGGAGCCGAGCCGGCTGGGTAACGAGACGGCCTGAGACGGCCGATGGAACGGGCTGCCAGCTGCTCCTAGACTGGGGGACTGAGTCTCAGGACACAGACAGGAACTGAAAAATAATCAGACTCCCCCCAAGCAAAGATCCAGCCAGAAAACGGGCAGCAAAAGGAACATACTCCTCAGAGGAAGAGATGCAGACAGCCAATAAAGACAGCAAGCATCAGTCACCACTGCTGGCCACTGGAGAAGCGCAAATTACAACACTGAGAGACCATCTTAGCCAGGAAGAACAGCCATGATCAAGAAGGCAAGTAACAACAGAGGCCGGCGAGGCTGAAGGCCCGTCTGCCCTGCAACTCGAGTGCCGACTTGCACTCTGGAGAAGGATGTAGAGGCTCCTCAAGGAAAGGAAAAGCAGAAACTCCATCTGGCCCAGCTGTTCCCCTTCTAGGAATCTTCCCCCAAACTGAAATGCATCACCCAGTGATCCAGGAGTGCTGGTCTCTGTGGTGGTACAATCCTCAATGGCTCAATCTCTCAAGCCTCTGTGTACCTGTTATGGTTGACACATTGTATCAACTGGAGAAGTTTAGAAATTTAACTAAGAGTCTCAGCAGGGACCAGGAGGATCCTTACTTTGTAAAAAGCTTCAGCCTGTGCAAGAGGAGGGCACAGAGGTGCCAACCCTACACCCGCCCTGGGTGGGGGTGGCCTGCTTACAATATACAGGGGGAGAAGAGACGTGTTCTACCCCCCACCTTTTGCTCTGGCTGCTGCCTTGAAGCGTTGCCCCTGTGCCATGCCACCCTACTTTGGAGCCAGCTGATTATGGACTGAAACTTCCACAAACTGTGAGCTAAATAAACCTTTCCTTCCTTCATTTTGGGCATCAGGTATTTTGTCCCAGCAGCAAGAGAAAAGTAAGGGAGAGAGCACCTATCAGGGGATGGACGGATAAAGAAAATGCGGTATTTACACCCTGCAGAGTACTCAGCCACAAAGAAGGATAAACTTGGGCCAAATTTGTAGGAACACGGATACACCTTGAGACCACAGTGCTTAGTGAAACAAATCAGATGCACGAGTTGAAATACTGCATTGTTCCTCTTCTATGAGGAACTCAGAATACAGAGCAAAATAAAAGGGTAATATCTATTGTGAGAGAGAAGGCCACGGGGAAGGAGGATAAGATGAAAGGATTAATTATATTTTGTGTCCATGCACCGATGCCACTGCAGATGTGGACTAATAAGTAAGAAAAACTGTAAAGAGATTCAGCCAAACTGGAGCAGGAGCAGACGTCCCTGGTGGACCTCCTGCCCACGATGTCCACACAGCTAGCAGGTGTTTCTCTCTTGGTCGATACGTGCCAGGGAGAGTCCAGGCGCCAGGACTGGGTGGTCGCCAGAGCCACACCACGGCGCTGGGTTAGGTCAGGTACGCACGTGTCCTGCCCAGCCCAGCTCTGGGAAGACCCTGCCTGACAGCAGACCATAACAGCGCAGGTCACCCCATGGGATCAGCCCAGAGACCCTACAGAAAGCCCTGGTGCACAGCAGGGGTGTTGGGCAGCTGGCCCGCTGAGGACACCATGCAATCAGCATGCGGACAACCCCGTTTCAGAAGATGACCACGGAGGCATGAGCTCTTTGTCATTCACAGGACATGGTGGCCTGGGTCTGCCTGTGGCAGAAGTGATGCTGGTGAGTCTTGCTCTGGGACAGCAGGTGCCACCAGGACACAAGCTGAAGGGGGGTGTGGCCAAGCTGCCACTTGGGCCGGGGCAGGAGACTGTCACCTGGGCTCTGGGATGCACATTTGTATTTGCCGAACCTCGGCCCTTTCCTGGGGTCACCCCTTCTGCAGCCAGCCAGCCTCCCCTGGGGAAGCTCACCTTCCTCCTTCAGCCCACCTGTCGCGGCCTCCTGTGGCTTCCGGAAGCCAAAGTGTGATCACGAGATGTGCTTTTGTGCCATGCTCCTGCCACCCCAGTCACAGACCGAGAGATGGGGACGGCTGCCTCTGCACCGCCTTGCCCCCGACAGGCTGCTCACAGCTACCAGGCGGAGCTGTGTCCCTGGATCACAAGGGGTGCATACGAATTCTCCTGGTTTTTAAAATTTAAAATAAATTTTTCTATCTGTGTAGAAATGTCATTAAGTACAGAACTCCGAGAGGGCCTCAAATCACCCATAATCAGAATGGGAGGAGGAGGAGGAATGGGGATCCCTGGGGGCCCTGGAGCTGGGGTCTGGGACCCTCATGGGTGGGTCTGTCGCTGGCGGCCCCGGCATGGGCCCCAGTGGCCTGCGCATCCTGGTCACGGGTGTTTGGAGAGCAGGGCTGCTTGGCTGCTGTAGGAGAAGCGGCCTCTGGTCACGGGGCTATCCCCTCTGGCCAAGCCTGACACCCCTGGAAGGGAAGGAGGGTAGCAGGCAGGAGCAGGGAGGATACCACGGTCCCCAATAGCCTCGGCGCATGGAGAGGCTTGGGGTGCAAGAGGCCCACTTCTGGGTGACCTCAACAAGCTTCGCCTGCTGCCTTCGTGGTGGCACTGTGGGGCTCCCCTGGCTCTCCGTGCTCCGGGGAGCCTGTGCTTCTACCTCGGCTCTGTGGCCTGGGAAGCAGCTTTCTAAGGTTTCTAGACAGACCCCACGATCTGTCCGTGTGTCAGTCTATCTGTCCACTGCTGACTTAGACCTGGCACGGTGATCAGAGCCCGCCTGCGTCTTGGGCTGCCGGCTGCCAGCCACGGGACCAGCACTCTATTTCATTCTCAAAGCAGCCCGGACAGCTAGCACGTGTGGACGGGGCTCTTCCCCTCTGTGCAGCTGGGGAAACTGATACTCTGAGACAGACTTGCTCAAAATCACGTGAGCAGCAGAGCAGTGGGGATGGAGCTCGCACCGAGCGGGGCACCTTCTGGGCTAGGTGTTCAAGCCGGTGGAGTAGGGCCCTGGGGGGGAACAGACTGTGGGGCGTGGCGTCCCTCAATCTGCCAGACCCCACAGTGTCTGGGACCCTGGATCTCATCCAAACTCCTGTTCCACCTTAGTCTTGTGGGGCTCAGTTTCCAAATTCTGAGCACCCCCTTTCTGTGCTGGGGGGTGGCACTCGGGGAGGGGCAGCTCCTCAGGGAGCAGGGTGGGGTACACAGCGCTCCCCTCCCCTGCCCCACAGTCCAGGTTGGCTCAGCCTCCCAGTCCTTAGGACACCCCCAAATCACTACCCTTCCAGGCAGACCCAAGGGGTGGGGGCTCCAGCCAGGCCTCTGGAAAAATCGGGCCTGTGGGAAGAGCAGTGGCCTCCCCGCCCCAACTGCTTGCCCTGCCTGGCACTGAGGCCATGTGTGCTGCAGCCCACCCCACCCTGCGGGAGTCACTAATTTTTGGCCCTCAGAGTCTGCGGCTGAGGGCAGGGAGCCCAGCCTGATGGAAGTGTGTAACACATTGTGGTGAGTGTGAATAAACACATGGCTAAGTATGCGTGTATGCTGCATTCAGCAGCCATGCCAGAGGCTATCTTCCTGCCTCAGCCTCCTGAGTGCTAGGATTAAAGACACCTGCCACCACTCCTGGCCATCTGGGTAACTCTCAGAGGTGCTGATGTCTAATGATGCCAGGGCCTTCCTGGGGGAACACCGGTAACTTCCTGGGGCCCCACACCTTCAACAGCAGATGCTGCCCGGATGGTGGATCACGGCACCTCCCTTCACACACATGTCCCGTGTTTGGGGCTCAAGTCACCCTCCAGGCTTCCCACCCACACGCCCAGGCAGCCATGAATGCCAAACTGTGATGGAGCACGTGGGGACCTGAGCCCAGCCCGGCAGAACCTGCATGGTGGTTCCCAGCACCCCAAATGCCTGGTCCCTCTGTGCTGCAGGGTGGGGTGTTTGTGTCCAACTGGTCAGAGGCCCCTCACCTCCGACAGCCCGAGACCAAGCAGCCCCGAGTTCCAGGTGGGAAGTTTGGAAAATAAACTCCTAAGGCCTGAAGTGTGCTGGGGCTCCCTGAGACTCAAGGCCTTTGGAAGTTTAAGGCCCGGTGTGCAGACAGCCCCGGCCCGCAGCCCCCCAGGAGCCGCTCTCCAGGCTCTGGGACCGGGGCCCGGACCTCCACTCACGCCCTGGCAGCGGGGCTGGAGGCAGGCGGGAGGGCTGGAGACCCAGCAGGAGGAACACAGCCCTGGCTCACAAGCGTTTTATGAGGAAGGGAAAAAAACATGCGTCAACTGCACGGTGAAACCCAAACCCTGAGTGCTTGAGGGGACTACAAGTGGTGCTGGGGCAGCGAAGCCCGGGTGTTCCTGGTGTTGGCAGGCAAGATGGAGGGCAAGGAGGTGCCAACTTCCCCTGGGGCAAGGAGCCCTCTCTAGGAACCCAGGACGGCTCGGCGGGGCCCTGCTCCAGGGCCACGTGACCCTGCGGGGAGGGACGGCCTGGAGGAGCTCAGTGTGGAGACGAATGAGAGTATCCTCCCCGGGCTGTGCTGCCAGGGCCTGCGGCCGTGTCCTCACCTGGCCTCTGGGGCTGGGGCCACCACACAGAGGCTGACGCGAGGGCCAAGGAGGCTCTTTGGGGTCGCACTCCCACTTTCTCATACACGTGACAGGAAGCCGCTGTGTGGCCGAGTGCACACTCTTGTGCCTGTGTACTTGTGCAGGTGGGTGTCCTCCTTCACGGACCTCACACCCTCGCCTGTACACATGGCCACCTTGGGCACTGCCCTGGTGGCTAACCAGGCTGCAGGGAGCTGGCACAACACAACAGAGGATGAGGAGACACGAGGGCTCAGGGGACCCCTGCTCATGCTGACCACATACTGGTGCCAGGCTAGTGGGGGTGGCCCTCGACCTTCGCTAGGGTCCTGGCTTTACATAGGTACTGAGGGCCAGGTGCCCAGGGCACCGGGATGAGCCTGGCAGCCAGACAGCTGAGCTCGGAGTAGGGTTCCATTCTGAAAGCAGGGGCTGTGAAGCAGGAGGAGGGGGCGTCGCTGAGGGGCTCCAGCCCCCAAGCTCATCCACGGGACCACAGGGCTCAGTGAGGGCTGGTGGTGGGGCTGAGGGTGGTGGTGAGGCCCCCACAGCTGCGCATGGGGAGACAGGCATGGGGGTTTAAGACACACTGGAGGCAGCTTGGAAAGCATCTGGGGTTAAGGACAAAGCCCCCACATTCCAACCAGACAGCTGAGGCTCAGGGAGGGGCCCACAGCTTAGAGCAGACGGGGACCCTGTCGCCTACATGCCGCTACACGCCGCCTGCACGGAGCCTCCCTGGCTGAGGGCAGCTCCGTCTCTGCGGAGATCGCCCATACAGGAGGCTCCTATCAGCATACCGGTTGGGTGTGCACTGTGACCTCAGGCACCCTGCACCCGGCAACGCCCACCTGCATCCGCAGTCACCAGTACCTGCAGACAAACTCACTCCACACACCAGGCACACACAGTGCACGGCTCAGACGAGACCGTCCCACATCGGTTCACATACACACACACAACTCAGTTCTCGTGTACCAATAATGATGCAAACACAAAACTAGTTCAAATGTCTAGACCCATATGTGCTTGTGCACTTACACACACAGCAGTCAAAACACACACGACATCCAGTACAGAAAAACCTGCATACACACCCATACCCACCACAGCCACACAGAGACACAGGCACACACAAGCTCAGAACAAACCCAGGTGAACACTAGTGTGTGCAGAAATGCACAGGTGTCTGACAGCCTGGCAGGTGTATGCACACACTCAAACTCACACGTGTGTGTACATGTGCACCCGTGCACATATGCCTGGGCCCCCAAGTGCACATGTACACACACACACCCTCTGTGTCTGCATGTACACTCCTGCACAGGATGTGCATCCCCCAGGCACACACGCAGTCACTGAGCACACCTGGCATGAACTCACACCCAGGTACGAATCCTGTTCAGCCACACTCGCAGCCACACCCAAACCCGCCTGCCCACTAACAGGGCAGCCATGAGTGGCCAAAAAGTGTCCCCATGCCCAGCCCCTGCCAGCAACATGCAGGTCACTTACAGCAGCTTAAGGATCTCCACGTAGCAGCCGAGCGTGCGGTCGGCCTGCGGGCCCAGCTCGATGCTCAGGGTGCTGCAGGCGGGGCTGACCATGAGGCAGTCGATGAGGTTGGGCTCGCTGTCGTTGCCCGTGCTGGCCGTCAGCGCCGGCTTGGCCGTGCTGGTGCGCTCCACCTCCACGTGGATCTCGCTGGAGGCCACGACCACCGACTTGAGCCGTGCATCGGACAGCGTGGCTTCCTGAGACACCAGGTCTGGGCTGGGGTGCAGAAGGCGCAGAGGTAAGGTGGGCTTCCGGTCGCAGGGCTGCTGGCAGCCGTTCCGGATCTCCTTCAGGCTCGGGGAGTTGTCACGGCTGGGGACAGAGGAGAGAGCACGCCTGAGCATATAGCATGCTGTGCGTGCAGAGGCAGGCGAGGCTGCGGCCATCGGAACGGCCCTAAACCACAGCTGTGGCTTTGTGCAGGCTCACGATGACAACAGAGCCATGAGGTGTCGCTCGCTACTGTGATCCCTGCTCTGGAAAGGCAGACAGGGAGGCGCGGCCAAGCAAGCGCCCACCCAGTGTCCTGCAGGAGGATGTGCGGGCGGCACTCAGAGCCAGGGTCCCTGCAGCAAGGAGCGTGTACTCAGGACACCGTGTAGGTGGAAGCGGGCAGCTTTGTCTCTGCCTCGGCTATGACCCTCTCTCGGCATTCACCTCTGCCTGCGCTTCCCCTGGCCTTGTCCTGGCATCTCTGTGCCCCCGCTAGCTCCCTGCAGTCTGGCTGTCCCCCAGGGCCAGGCCAGGTGACACACATCCACCCTCACACGGGACCCCACTCAAGGCTCCCAAACGTCATATGGATCTGGGCCCTGAGCCTGCAGAGCCTCCTGCACCCAGCCCCTCAGGAGCACCAGGACCCCAACAGTGTCCTCACAGTGCTTGCCCGGGTGTCACGAGGTGTTAATTGAGGAAAGAGCTCTAGGACCCCGCTAAAGTCACTTCTGTTTGGGACATCGTGACACGGGCCCTTCTTCCTGCAGAACTTGTCAGAGCCTTGCCGTGACCCAAACCCCTCCTCTCCTAGTGGGCTCTGGAGAAGCCCATCCTATTTGGCAGGGAGACAGCAGTGTTTCTGAGGATACCTTTGGGCCAACACCTTGGGTAGGAGATGCTTCCAGGCTGGCCAAGGGGCCAGCCCCCAATCCTACGGTTCTTTCATGAGTCTGGGATGCAGGGATGAGGGCAGGTTGAGATTTTTTCCCCACTCCTCATGATTCTGGGCGTCATGGCATGACCAGAAGCAGCTTTGGGTCCATGATGGACCCACACGTGCCACACAGGCGAGCCCTGGGCCCTGTGCACGGCAGCACCAGGTATAGGGGCGGAACACAGCCCCGATGCACAGCAGGGTCTGAATGGATCTGGTCCCTGCCACATGCCAGGGCCACGAGGAGCCCACCAAGGGTGTTTAATAAATAGCTTTAAAAAATTCACCGGGTGGGGGCGGGGAACAACCCACTGGCCAACGTCCAGGCCTTCTGTGGTTGATGAAAACTGTGTGTGGTCCACAAGGGGGCAGGGCGACCTGAATCTCTCCTTCGGTTCGGACTTAATTTGCTCCTTGAATGCTCCACGCTCCGTTTGCCTTTGCTGGGACTTAGGAGTGGATTTTCAAGGCTGTTTGGCTCTGATCGGTGATTGTGCCGAGAGCCACGCTAACCTGGGTCAAGCTGTCTGTGCTTCTGCCTGTAAGTACATTGTGTGCTCACCGGAGCTGCGCGGACGGCCCAGAGGACAGGACGGCTCCAGCTCACAGGAACTGACCAATGGGCGTGGGGGAGCCGAGTCCAGGAAATATCTTGGCAGCGTGGGCTGCTTGGGGTGACGTCCTGGAGGAACTAGCGGCATCAGCCAGGACCCAGGCGTGGGCCCTGAGGGGCTCGGCGGTGCTGGGCTGGGCTGGGAGTCAGAGCCAGGGGGAAGGAGGTGGTGGGGCCTGGGCCTCCCCTCCTCCCACAGACTCGCTGGCCCGGCCAGCCCATCCTCCACCCAGCAGCAGCCGGAGGAGTCGTGAAGTGAAATCTCCACAGCCCGTCCCTCTCCTGCTCCAAACCCGCTGTGCACTCGGAATGTTCTGGGACTGCACTGACACAGAAGAGCCCTGGACTCAAGGGGTTCACTCCAGCTTCATCTTCTGCTTGTTTCCTCTCTCTGCTCAGGGTACACCAGCTCCTGCTATACCTCTGCCTTCCCTGTGCAGCAGAATCTGCTGTGCTTTAAGAATGCAGATTCCCAGGCCCGTGATTCAAGTGATTCCAAGGCAGGTGGTCAAGGCCCTCAGCTGGCAAAGCTCTGTGGGTGCTGGCAACTCCCTTCCTCCTCTGCAGGCCCTGCTCCCTCGGCCTGGACTGCAGCAGGAGGCGTCAGCTTAAATACCGCCTCCCTGACGGACCCTTCTGGGACGGTTAATTTTGAGTGTTAACTTGATTAGACTGGGAATGCCTAGGAAATCAGTATAGCACACATTTGGGCGTGTCCGTGAAATGTTTCCAGAGATGACAGGCGTGTGTTGGACAGCACACGGGGTGAGGAGACCCGCACAGATGTTTTCAGCAGCACCCAATGGGGTGAGGCCGGAGGGGCACAACAGGAAGGAGAAGCATGTCCCCCAGCATGTCACCCTCTCTTCCTGCCTGCAGCTCTGGCCCCCTCTGTCACGTCTTGTCTCACCACAGGGCCAGAATCAATGACACCAAGGGGCCAGGGACTGAACCTCTGGAATCCTGAGCCAAAATAAATATTTCCTCCTTTTAAACTGTTCAGGTCAGTATTTTATCACAGCCGAGAAGCTGGTGAATGAATACAGCACCTTCCTCGCCTCTCACTAGGGCAGGAGTTCTCAGCTCTGGCCAGAGGGAGTCCAAACAAACAAACAAATAAAACCAACTGAATCAGAGCGTCAGCAGGGCAAACCGTGAGGTGGGCCTGGTCCTGGCCCCATACACAACACACACACATACACACGCGCGTGTGCATTCAGATGGATGCATGCTCCACATGTGCATCTGCACAGCTGCCTGCAAGCACCACACTCTCACTCCAGGGCTGCCTGGAGACGCACGGCCTACCTCTCTCCTGCTCATGCCCACACTCAGCTCCATGGGGCCACCGGAGCTGACCTGGTGCCCGCTTTGTCCTCAGCATCCCCGGCAGGGCCCTGGCAGCAGCTACTCCACCTCCCCAGCCTGGCCACTCCAGCAGCCATGTCCCCCACATGGGGTGGCAGCAGGTCCCCACCCACGCCCTCCTGGCAGCAGCAGGGACCGACCTGTTGATGAACTCTTCGTAGCAGGAGTAGATGGCAGCCAGGCACACCGCCACCAGGTTGGGCAGGACCCGGGGGTGGGGGCAGTGCCCCGTGGGGCCGTGCATGCTGGAAAAGAGCAGAGGGTGAGTGACAGGCTGCACGGGCAGGGTTCAGGGGCACTGTGGTCTAAGGCCACCCCTCCCTGCCAGTACAGCTCAGGGAGCTGTGTGCCTGGTGACACAGGGACATGGCTCCTGGGTGCCCCGATGCAGGTGGCAGAGGGCCCAGCTGCAGGCTGTGGACTCTGGATCCAAGGCACCTGCTTGGAACCCACCCGAGCAGCCCAGCAAGCTCCTGAGATGCCAACCCAGTGTCCAAGACCATGACGTGAGAAATCAGTGCCCTCTTCTGAGGTGACAATGAGGATCAGGTGGCCCAGTCCCGGGAAAACCTCAGTGACAGTGCCCAGCTGCCCAGGGGTTCCAGAGCAATCACCCCAACACTGCTTATCATGGTCATCTTAGCATGGGGCAGTCTGTCTCTCTGCTGCAGTTCTCTCTCTGTGGGACAGACTGTTCCCGGCCTGGAGGTGACACCCGAAACCTTTCTGGGAAATTGTCACTGCCGATGCTGTCACTAAGATAGTCTGCCCTGACAAAAGCCCATAAACCAAGCCCGGGCACCCCGAGGTCACTGGGGCTGTGGAAATACATCCTGAGTGGGAGGTGGTATCTTCTCAGGAACCCCCAGAACGGGTCTGAGTGGGTGACGTAAGATTTTCTTCAAAACAAGAAGAGTCAAAAGGACGGTGAACCTGGGCACCGCGCCGGCACTGTGCTTAGCATCTCATCCGGAACTAACCTGATGAAGTGGGAGCCAGGAGTCTCATTTTACAGATGGGGAAACTGAGGCACAGACCAAACAATGGAAAGATAAAAAAAGCAGAGAAAAGGACTCCCACACACTAGAAGCAAGTAAGAGCGAGTCTTCGGTGGCCTCTCGGTCCGGCTTGGGAGACGATGCCTGAGTTCTGGATGGTAACCCTTGGGGCCACTGCCAGGGACTCCTTGCCAGCACCCAGGGACCACAGCAGAGGGACAGAACAGATGCTGACGTTACTCAGGACCACGGGCATTCCTGGAGGCCCTTGTAGCATCCTGCCCAGCTGCAGCGCCCCACCCACACCCCAAGAAGCAGGTTCCGGAGGTGCAGCGACCGGCTCAGGGGCACAGAGCAAGCAAGGGGCTCAGCCAGGGCCCACGTGGTGGGAGGAGTCAGTGGAGAGGACAGAGGGGACACACAGAGGGGCGCGGGCCTCACTGGGTGTCACAGAGGGGAGGGGAGGTACAGGCGTAAGGGGGCAGGGGACCCGAGACCCACCTCTGAATGAATTTCTTCACCACCTCCATGCCCGCGTTGAGCTCGTTCAAGGCGAGGATGTACTCCTGAGTGAAGAGCCTCAGCCTCGGGCACTTCCCGAAGTCCTGTAGGGGGAGGAGCGCAGCTGGGGACGCAGCCACCACGTGGGGGCGGGGGGGGGGGGAGTCCAGGCAGCGGGAGTGTGGCGGCGGGAAGTCAGAGCACCAGCCCCCTGGATGCGGAGTGGCTGGCCTTGGCACACAGCACTGCCACAGCCCTGCTGCCCCTGGCGGGGACCCCTGGTGGTCAGGTGAGCTGGCCAGGCCTCTGCCTGGCACCACCCCGGGGACCCTCGGGGCCTAGCCCCTGACCACCCCAGAAGCTGGACTCCTAGTATTCAGGGCCTGGGCTCCTGCCCTGCTCTCCGATCTAACCAGAGGTGCTTGGCAGGGCGGGCAGCAGGGACAGACACAAGGGCCACCAAGGTAGAACTCAACACCTGGGGTGCAGGAGAGCAGGCAAAGGACTGGGCTGACCCAGCTCCTCACACCTCCCCACACTCCAAGCTGCTATGCTTAGTGAGGGGGTGCTAGCCCTTCCTCCTGAGTGAATGACAGAGGGGAAGGGGGCCCCCAGGCCGGGCCCCTCCTGCAGGGAGAGGATGTGCCTCATGAGGCCTCCCGGGCAGCCCCCGGGCTGGGCAGTCCCAACCCTGCCCTGCTCCTGGACTACATGATGGGAGTGCCCGTGACTGTGTGCTTTAGGCTGGAGAAAACCCACCCTCAAAATTTACACACAGGTCGGGCATGGCAGTGCACGCCTGTAATCTGGGCACTCAGGAGGCTGAGGCGGGAGGATCTCAGGTTTGAAGTCAGTCTGGGCTCCATGGTGAGTTCAAGGCCAGCCTGAACCCACAGAGAGATACCATCTCAAAAAAACAAAACAGACTGGTGTGTGAGACACAAAAGCAGGCAGAACAAAGATGAGAGCGTGTGAGGGAGGCGCATCCCCTGTGGGATGCCGGCCCGGGGAGGGCAGGGTGTTCTCCGGGCATGGAGGCGCCTGACCCAGGCTGCGCTGTCACAGCAGGACCAGGGATGGCTACTGCTTGAGATGGTGGCTGAGGTGTCACCCAGGGGCCCGGCCCAGGACCAAGGGACTGTCTGCTCCAGCCGAGTGACAGGCGCCCGATGTCCCCCAGCAGCAGGGCGGTGACAGTGTGGGTAGGGGACTCATCAGGAGACGCAGAGACTATGAGAGACAGCACCATGGCTCGGCCCCTCCTGCGGCTGGGAGGGGTGGGGTGGGGCGGTCAGGAAGGGCGAGGCAGGACACGGCTTGCCCCAACCCGCTGGAAAAATGACAGGGTTCACCAGCAAGACGGCGGCGGGGCGCTTGGTGTCTCCAGCTCATCCTGTTCCCTGCTTTGTGCAATCTGCTGACACAGCAGCCAGGGGGCAGAGGTGCTGAGTCCCAGCCCCAAAATTAAAAAGCAACTCAAAGCTGAGCACTCTGGGAAGCTGAGGCAGGAGGATCTATAAACTCAAGCCCAGCCACACAGCACCCCACATCGAGATCCCTAAAGGCTGCAGGGACTCAGCCTGGGGCCAGGCCACAGCGTTCACTCTGGAGCTGTCTGATCTCTGTCTGATTCACATGGACAACACCCCAGGCCGTGAAAGTCCCTGAACTCCTGAGGGACAAGCTGCAGCGGAGGCCCGGGAGCCCTCAGGATGCTGACTGTTCCCTTGGATGTCGGATGCTCCCCAAGGGCCCTCAGGAAACAGCCTGTGACTACACAGGAAGTGTGGATGCAGGACCGCTCATGTGGGCACCGCCCTGGCCTCGCGGCCCTGGGCTTGCGGCTCTGTCTCTGGTGAGAGGAACCAGAGAACCCGCACTCTGGACTTCCACGGGCCCCCCCTTAACTGCCCGCTGCACCCGCGGGGACCCCACCATGGTTAGGCACAGGGCTCTTCCTCCCCGGTGCTGGCACGGAAACTGTGGCAGAACCTTCGCCACCACCTGGGGAGGGCTCCTGCTATCCTAGAAAAAGCTACACAGGAAGGCCCTGCCTTGTATCCAAAACAAACACATTTATCCCAAATCCCAGAGGATCTCAGAAATAAGCTGCAATTCCACGACAGCACGGGATCACACAGGGAGAGAACAGGAAAGAGGACTCATCCCAGGACCAGGGCGATTCACTGGGTGGCCGCTGCCTGGGATGCTGCCCAGGCCGAGAAGCTCTCTAAATCCCTATGCAGAGTCCGGCCATCAACTGGAGATGTCTGCCATGGATGTGGGCGAGAAAGATTGCAAGGGTCAAGCAAAGACGGACTCTGGTTCCCTGCCTGCCTTTCGGGGTCCCAGACTCATGCAAGGCGCAGGATAGCACAGGGCTGACGACGTCACATACTCCCAGAACTGTGCACCCTGCCTGTTCTTACTCCCAGCGGGGCCCAAGCAGTGGACCTCACTAAGGAAGCCTCAGTTTCCCCACACGCAGTATGGGGAAAATGCTATTTGCCGCTGTCATTGGATTGACAGGATGAAACTGAGGGGCCCTCAGGTGATAGAGAGACCAACTTCTGCGTCTGGATTTATGGAAGTGAACCAAGGCCATCCTTTACTGAGGCCGTCGCTGTGTCCCCTTGTGTTCCTTCCCTGCATGGGAGCGCCACCGAGGCTCCTGCGGCACGCGTGACCTCTGACTGCTCCGTCCCCACCTTAGGCTCTGTCAGCTTCTCACACTTTCCTTGCTTTTTGTGGCCAGGACAGTTCTGGAGGGGTCTTGTAGACCGTCCCTCACCGTGGTCTGGGGCCATGGGTATGCGAGGGAGACCCCGTGGGGACAAGTGCCACCTTCACAGCTCATATCGAGGTCCTTTCAGGAGACACAGGTCATTGCTGTTGGCATTGACCTGGATCACCCGGCTGGATCTGTCATTTTCTCCACCAGGAAACTAAATTATTCTTTTTTCCCAGTTCTGAGATTGAACTCAAGGCCTCTCTGCCTTGAGCTACATTGTCAGCCCTTTGGGGGTAAATTTTTTTTCCAATAAACATTTTGAGACAGTCGCATCAAATTGCGAAGTTGCCCAGGCTGGGCTCAAACGTGCCATCCTCCCGTCTCAGCCTACCACAGTGCTGGGATTACAGGCCTGCACCACTGCACCCACAGAGGCTGCCCTTCTCCCTCCCACCCTGTGCCCTTTGGGAAAAACTCTGCCCACAGCCCACCCCAGGGACCTGGAGGACAGGGCACACCGCTGGAAACACTGGTCTCTCCCCCTGGCCAGGGCATTTCTGTTATTCTTACTAAGGTCAGGAGATCCTTCCTGCTGCCTTAATGGAGAAAGTACAGCCAATGAGGTGCAGGCTGCCGAGGCCCCAGCTCCCCATCCAGAACCCGCTGGCCCCACCCTGCTCCCGAATCTGCAAGAAACCAAAAGGCTGGGGTGGGCACGGCGGATGGTGCCGGGCACTCACCATGTTATGCTTGAGGATTCTCTGGACCACAGGCGTGAACACCTCGATCACCACCATGGACCGGGGCCGCTCTCTGCAGTGCTGGGGGGAGAGGGACTCGGTTAGCGTGGAGGTCAGCGCCCCGCCCGAGCTGCCCGCTTCCCACAGGCCAGAGACCTCGAGCCCAGCAGGCATCCTGTTTCCCTCGCTGCACAGGGCTGCAGAGCTGATTTAAAACCAGGCTTTGTATTAAGTGAGCAGCTGCAGGTTAACAGTGTAACCGAGGAAGGTGGAGCAGTGTCCCATGTGCATCTGTCCCCACAGCCACCTGGTGTGTTGCAGGACAAAGCTGGCTGGGCACGTCTGTCACCCCTGGCCCACGGCTTGCCTGAGTTACCTTGGCGATGCACTCCCCATACCCCTCCCCACTCCCGACACCACCATCCGGACTGCCTCTGCAGTCCCGCCTTTGCAAGAATGTCACACCCAGGTCTCCTGTCCTCTATCTGAAACGCAAGGGGCTGAGTGTGTCAAGTATTTTCTGCTTTCAGAACATTTGCACATACACAGTGCAGTATGGGAGGACTTTAGTTTAAACGTGAGCGCCATATAACTTTACTGTGGCTCACAGGCAATTCCATGTAATATTGTAACGCATCTGTTTTTTAAAAGTACATTTTCTGTTGTATCGGTTTTGTGGTACCGGGGTTAAACTATGGGGTCTCAGTACTGAGCTACAGCCTGGGCCCTTTGATTCTTTTATTTTGAAACAAGATCTGCTTAACTCACCAACGTCCCTGAGTCAGGCCTTAGCTTGTGATCCTCGTGCCTCAGCCTCCCAGAGTGTTACAATTACAGGCATGTGCCACAATGCCCAGCACGTGCCTGTGTTTGGCACTGAGCTGTTAGGTATGGAGTTTTCCACTCAGGATGTCATGTCAGCACTTAAAAATTTGAATCTGGGAGCATTTTGGACTTGGGGCGGTGGCGGTTTGGTTCCTTTCACTTGGCCACATGTGTAAGGTCCCTCCCCATCTTTCTGTGGCCTGAGAGCTCCCTTCAAGGTGGAGAGGGCAGCCGTGTGGTGGCGGCTCACTCGTGCATCTACTCAGGGATGTCTGGGTTGCTTTCAAGTTCTGGAAATTATGGTTAAAGTTGCTATAAACACCTGCAGGTGGATTTCTGTTTAGACAGAAGTTTTAGCTCATCCGAGTGAAACCCAAGAAGCACCACAGCGCTGCCTACTCCTGCTTTCATGTTTTGTAGTTAAAAAAAATAATAAAGCAGATGGCGTAAGATCTTTTGTTTGCTTTCTATTCTGATTTTGAAGTCTGAGGCTGTTGCGGGTGACACAGACAAGGAGTCTGCCCGACACAATTCTTTTCACGAGACCTGCAGAGCCCAGTTTTCGCAGGCCAGGCCTGGCGGGCCTAGGAAGCTGGGTCTGAGGACTCACAGGTCTAGGACGCTGGAAATCCCCCGAACTTCTCTGCGGGTGACGTAACAGCCAGGCAGAGGTGCGCAGGCCGGTCTGGGGCTCAGCCCTGTGCCGTCGGAGTTGCTCCACTGGCAGGCCCACCCCCAGCTGCCTGAACACATTTCTAGCCGCGCAGCCCTCGAAGGTGCGGGGATGACAAGCCCTGGATGGGCCTGGGGTCTGGGATGGAGCAACTGGGCCTTTTCTGGGGATCCGGATAGGTTAAACCTTCCTCGGGTCCTGGGTTCCAGGCTTGGGTGTCTGGACCCGCTGCCCAGCGGGTCCAGAGTGCAGCTCCAACGAGGCCAGGTTGCTGGCTTGTTTTCCTCCTGGGGTGTGATCGCAAGGGGAAAACAGCCCAAGGTTCGCAGCCCACTGTGGCCGCTTTACCCTCCAAAGGCAGAAAACACCAGGCCGGTTTCTCCTACTTCACCCTCTCTCCAACCTCGTCACCTCGCTGTGTGAGGCTGGCTTTCAGCAGAGCCAGGGGTGAGGAGCAGATGTCTGAAAACCAGGAGGTCCGGAGAAAACACAGCTGGAGAGCAGAGCACGGGTGGGCACATCTGGATTAAACCAGACAGATCACCGGAGAGGGGACCCATGTGTGGGGAGCCTGGTCTGCGGGACTCCACCCTGGGAGGGCTGGACATTGAGAGGAGCAGACACAGACCCTCGAATGCCCTGGGGAGCCAAGATCTGTGTGCACATGTGCACATGCTTGGGGTGTCCTGCACACAGACCAGAGAGCACACGCTGTGCACACCTGTGCTAGACAGAGGGAGGGTGTTAGGGCCCAGACCCGCAATCTGGGCACTCCAGTGAGCAGGTGTGTGGGTGGGGACATCTTCCAATGGAGAGGCGGGGCTGGAGGAGTCAGCACAGCCCTGGCTCCCCTCCAAGCTCCAGCTCCTGAGGTTGCAACCCCCCAAAGTGCAGCCTGTGATACGGAAGCGGCGGGGACCCTGCACTCACATGCTGGGGAGCCAGGGAGGGATCGAGGTGGGGAAGCAGGTATGTGCGGGATGGGCTCTAGGCTGCAACTGGGCCTGGGGAACTCAGGATGCCCGGCACCTGCGTGGCCGGGCACATGCTGAATCTGGCTGCAGGGCTGGCACCTGGGTCCCAGGAGCAGATGCCCTGCACTGCAGCTCCCACAGGCTAACCTGGCGTCTGCTGCCAGCTTCCCCTGTTCAGGGAAAGCCCCGCGGCCGGGCCCCCACTGTGGGCCAGCTGGTGCTCGGAGGCGCCTCGGCTAAGAATAACCCAGCCCTGACGTCAAGAATCCAGGAAACCGGCTGAAATGGCTTCCAGAGGCAGCCAGGATGTTTCCCCAGGCCCTGCGCTGCGACCCGATGCGTTCTTGCACCAGTCTGTAGGTGTGGCCCTGAGAAGAGATGCCCTGTGTGCCCTCCATCTGCATCTGAGACCCTGAGCAGGCAAAGCCACCCTGCAGTGCACGTGACACTGCCAGCTGCGGCCTCACCTACCTTGCAAAAGAATTCACAGAGATCTGGAGGGGGATGGTTGTTTTCCAGCAGAGGAGCGATTGCCTGAAAGACAAGGAACAGACACCGGTCAGCGCGATGTGCACGGTAGGGCCAGCGGGTGTGCAGGGAGGGGGGCTGCAGGGGACAGCTGGCCAGTGGCAGGACGGGGCCCAGCATGACCACGGAAGAGGGTGATGCACGGTGAAAACACAGTCTCCCACCCACCTATGGGCAGAGGAAGCAGGTTTTCTAAGCTGGGCTCCTGCTGAGGATCTGGTCACAGCCCCCCACCCTAGAAGCTTAGGGATTTCATGACCCACCGGCAGCTGTCCTTGTCCCCAACAGATCCACAGTCCCTGACTACAAGGACATCACGGGAAGCAAATAGGATGTGACACATCCTTCTGCTTCATGGAAGGGCCCTGGACCTGTGCCCTGTAGGCCCCGAGGGGTGACTCTCAGGCCGGCAGCAGAGTTTCCCACTTGCTGGTGGTGTGGCCATCAGAGCAGGCCACTTCACCTCTCAGGACAGTCGCTGCTCCAGGAAGTCACCGCAGGCTCAGACAAGGGACCCAGGAGAGCTGCGTACCTTGGTCCCCACCACGATGGCCCCCATAGTGGCCTGTCTTGTCTGTGTGTTGAAGTGGACAGACAACATCACTGGCTTTGATGACTGCAAGCCAGGACCCCTGCCCCGCTCTAGTGACAACCCAAACCATCCAGAGCCCCGTGCCGTCTGATATGAAGGTAGGATGTTCCCTTCACTACCCCTGCAGCTGACTTTCTCGGGAGCCTCCCGCCTAGCCGTACAGTAATGACGGCTCAGGACAGTGGTCGCTCAGGACATCAGGGAAAGGAAGTGTCACTGGACACTTCAGAATGAGGTCACAGAGGACACAGATGCCAAGTTCCCCACAAGTGTCAACCATGGACGGACACACAGAGCTAGGGACAGGACCCAGGCCGCCCTGTCCCACAAAGCGGACATCAGCCACAGGTAACACTTTGAAATCACTGGTTTTTGAAACAGGGTCTTGCTATGTAGTTCTGGCTGGCCTCAAACTCATATTGATCCTCCTGCCTCAGTCTCGAGTGCTAGGATTACAGGCATGTGCCACCACGCCCAGCGACACTTCAGAATTATAACTGACATGAGATCAATGATTTGGGGTGAAATGTAACCCACTCCTCCAGTCACATCAATGCCAGTTTCACCTCTCGTGTCAAAGCCACGAGGACCATTACTACACAGTGACGAGGATGGCTGTGGACAGGCTGGATATCCCTGCACCATGCTGGGTGGTGGGTGTGAGGCTAGCAAGATAAAGACTAGGGTCAAGGGCATTGTCTGCAAGGGCACAGCAGGACCCGAACCTTGTCTGTGACCCAGAGTCTGTGTCCTCCTGTGTGCTGTCCACACCCCTGGGGAACAGAGGACTCACCTGGGGACAAAACTGTTTGAGGAGAAATTGGCAATGGAGGACAAAACCCTGAACGGGAGATCTCGATGGCCCCAGCCCTGCCAGCAGTCAGTGCCAGGTGAACCGGTCCTGACGCTGGGGCTCATCCCCAAGCAGCCACTGGAGAAAGGACCCGGGCAGGGTGCAGTGCCCTCCAGCTGGGTCCAGACAGTCCCCGGCTCAGCAGGCCACTGCCACCACCTTCTCCTACTCATTTACTTAATTCTGTGGCACTGGAGGTGGAACCTAGGGCCTTTGCACTAAGCTACATCCCCAGCCCTTTAAAAAAATTTTATCTTGAGACAAGGCCTCATTAAATTGCCCAGGCTGGGCCTGCATTTGAGACCCTCCTGCTTCAGACTCCCAGAGTGGTGGGATTACAGGTGTGGGCTTCCACGCTGGCTGCAGGTGGAGGGGCTGGCCTGGCATTGCCATCAGGTGTGGGCTTGGCACTCCTGGGGCCCTGTGTCACTGGATCCTCCCGGCAAACCTGGGAGGTCAAGCACAACTGTTTCCCTTTCTACAGACGAAGGGACGAGGGCCTGGGAGTCCTGTCCTGGTCACACGGTGGTGGCCAGCTTTAAGTGGACAATTAACAAATAAGCCCATCTTTTCATGGAGTCTTTCTAAAGTCCTGCGACTCTGCCCAGCAGCACCCAGGAGCCTGGGCTCACAGAACCCTCCCAGCAGCGGTGTCAGTAAGCCTGGAACAGACGGAACCGACTGATCCATTTCACAGACAACAGGAGCCTGAGGCCTGGGGCTTAAGTTGGCAGGAAGTGGCTGGACGGCCATCTGGTTAACTAAAAGTGACCTAGAGCCAATTCAGAACAGGGTGGGCTGGTGCCTCTCAAGAACAGGGTACATCTGGGACCTCTCTGTCTCCAAAGAGGGGCCACCTGACCCTCTGGGTCACCCAGAGATGCTGCTGACCTGACAGCGCCCAGCACAGCCTCTCGAAGGACTGTCTGCCCTCGAGTGTGAGCCTCCCTGGTGCTCCACCGGGCGGAGCAGGATGTGGAGGCCAGCGTGGGCTGCCCTGCGAGGCCTCAGCTTCAGGAACAAACCAACGAGAGCCCCCAGACCAGGGTAACTGATCCCACAGCCCCTCGGCCACGCTACAAAAAAGGCTACCAGGGAAGAGCAAAGTCTCAATGATGCCTGGGGACGGGCAGGGCCTGTTCCTGACCGCGCTCATGGACTCCTGGACGCCCCAGTGTGAGAAACCAGCAGCCGAGGCTGTGGGTCCCCACCCAGGGATTCAACCGGTCAAACAAAAACATCTGCAGGTCAGCAGAACAGGGAGGCTGCTCCTCCTCCCTGTGCCCTAGGCGACGCCGTGTGAAGACGGAGCTGTGTCCTCACAGCGTCCACAGTGCCGGACAGCAGGAGGGAGCCGGAGCCGAAGGGCCCGGAGGACACGTGCAGGTGTCAAGGCCACAGCTTTTCACAGAGGGACCTCGTGTCTGTGGGCGCTGTTATACTCAGGGGCCCTGGAAGCAGTTCCCACAAACAGACAGGCGGCTGTAGTTTCACGGAAATGAGATCCCTTCCCATCACCGCCCAAGGTCGTGGCCAGGCTGGTACTCGGCTGTGAACTGGACTCAGGTTTAACATTAAGGCCTCTTTTTTTTTTTTCAGTAACTAAATCTAGGGCTTCACACCTGCCGGGCAAAAGTGCCCCACCAAGCACATACTTAGCCCTTTTTGTTTTGGGAAGCGTCTAAGATACCCGTGGACTTGAACTTGGGACCCTCCTGCCTCAGCCTCCTGGATAGCTGGGGTTGGGGTGTGCACCGCAGTGCCTGGCTAGCCTACATTCTTCACTGCCATGCTGAGCTCTGCAGGACCACAGCTGGGTCCAGATGCCAGGCCCACGCCTGTGCGGTGCCACCCCAGGTGTCAGCCACCGAGAGTCCACGGCTCGGGCACCTGGTCAGGGCCATGGAGAAAGCAGCCCAAGTTCCGGCAGGAAATGGGCACCCAGAAATTGGCAAGCTCGGCCAGGAGGGGACTGCGGGCCGCTGGGTCAGACGGGGACACAGTTGCTGCCTGGGATGGGGGCTCCCAGGGCCCCTAATGCTCTGCCAGCCGTGGTACCCATGAGGGGGCACTGTGGAGTGGGGAGAGGGGCTGGGCCCCCAAACCCGGCTCTTCCGGGTCATCGGCTCCTGCCCAGTGGAAAGTTCAGCTCAGCCACCCTGCCTCAGTCACTGCAGCTGGGGTTTCTGGGGTCGGCCCCGCTCTCCCAGGCCCCGATGAGCACACAGGCTCCACGTCGCTTCAGACTGCAGTGCCCAGTGGGGCCCTTGGGAGGGGAAGGTGTCACCCTTCCCACCACCCACGCTGCCTCCTGACCTCCTGCCTCTGCACACGCTGGTCCCCTGCCTGTCTGTCTCTCCCTGTGAGAGCCATCTTGACCTCCTTCCCATGTGCCATGCAAGCCCTGGCCTGGCCACCTACTCCGAAAGTCCTTGGGCATTCCTTCCCAGGTAGAGGGGGCTAAGGGTTTCTCTCCCGAGACCCAAGTCTTGTCTTGATTCTACAGATGCCTCACACACAGGAACCCCAGCCCTGCCTGGCCCATCCTGCCAAGCTCCCATTCCAGGGGACAGAGCCTGGCACACACATGGGATCAGAAGTCTGCTACGTGAACTGACACCAGCTGCAGGAGTGGGGGTGACCGGGTGCTGGGGTCAGCAAGGGAAGGCACAGAGTGGCCACAGAAATTCAGCAGCCTTCCCTGAGCACCTATTATGTACCAGAAACTGGCGGGGGTGGCTTGCCATGCTGTCTGGGATCACAAGTGCACTCCTATTGATCTCTCAAAACCCAGTTCTAAAGTCCCTGCCTCTGGGAAGCTTTCTGGCTCCTTTCCCAAGCAACTCTGGGACTCTACCTTGCACTTCACGTCTGCTTTTCAGAGACCACATCTTCCTGCATCTGCCTCGAGCCTCTGTGAGTCTAAATACACGGGGCTCGTACACACACAACTGTTTGGTTTCTTCTTCCTTCCTATCGAGAGTCATATTCTATAGCTTAAAATTCCTGGGGAAGACGGTTCACCTCGCAGGTGCTTACATTACTGTTGAATCCCAGAAAATATCACCTCACTTCACGCAGGAGAGGGAATCAAAGCCAGGTTCTGACTGGGGGTTAAGTCGGAGGTGCCCCGGGGGCAGGAAGCAACCAGGAGGACCACGCAGGGCCCAGCTCTGCTTCCAAGGGACAGGCGAGAAAGGGGCCGCGAGGGACTCACCACGATGATGTTCTCGTGCTCCTGGGTGGTCAGGTTGGTGTTCTAAGGGGGGAAGGAGAGAGGAGGAAGCCGAGGTTAGGGGGGTGGGGTGTCTGCATACGCCCGAGGGTCCGCAGAGTTGGGACCAAACAGTCATTTATCTATGTATCTATCTATCTGTCTGTCTATCTTTCCTTCTTTCTTTCTTTTATATCCTTTTTTTTTTTTTTTGTCTTTTTCCTTTTTATCGGTACCAGGGATCGAACTCACGACTGCCTGCTTGCAAGGCAGGTGCTTATGCCGCTGAGCTAAATCCCCAGCCCCCCTTTCTTTCTTTTTTAAAGCTGTCCTGGTGAGCAAGCACAAGGCCTCCATGCTGAGCTACATTCCCCGTCCTTTACATTTGGAGACCAAGTCTGGCCAAGTGCTTTAGGTGGGATTGGAATCTGTGACCAGGATCCTGCCTCGGCACTCCCAGAGTGCCGGAGTGTGGATGTGTGCTGTTTCCCGCAGACCGGATCACCTCCAGGGCAGGCTGGGCAGCGGGCAGTCAGGGTGAACTGAGCTCCGTGTCTGCAGCCTTGAGGGGTCTCACCTCAGGGACAGTCAGTTCCCACCTCGGGGACGGGAAGCCGGTCCCTGCCCTCCTTGGGCTGCTGAAAGGGCACCTGGCTTTGTCAAGGGACGCAGCTTAGATGCCAGAAGCAGGTTCCTAACTCACAGGGCACAGGTTAGGAAACTTCCCTGTGAGTCTGAGCCGCACCAGGAGGCTTTCAGACGGATGTGTGCACGCTTTTGATGGCTCCTAACTAGGTTCCTGAGGAGCCCTGGCATTCCAGAGGGGCACACAGATTATAGCAATCAACTTGCATACACACACAAAAGCTGCATGGATCTGAAATCGTGTTAATACAACTGGTCCTGTGAGTGTGACCCTGTGAGTGTGCGGCCCAGGAAAAGGATAAACACTCAATAAACAGGAAATGGTGGAAAACCCAAAGCGGCCACCGTCTCCCTGCCCACAGTGGCCTGGGGGTGCGTGAGTCCGTTTGGGCAGTGGGAATGCTCTGATAGTAAAGCGACTCCTTGTTAGAACAGCCTTGTCCCTGTGCCCGGAAAGGGCCGCGGGAGTGGGTTGGAGGAACACGGGGGCATCCAGCACGCTGACACCAGCTGAGCAGGAGGGAGCTCGTGAGCCGGGGGTTTGCTTTTGTCTGGGGGTGAGGGAGGAGGGCGCCCGGAGTCTGGGCATTGTGTGTCCCTGCGGGTCCCCAGGACTAGCCGTGACCCGGGGTGGGGCTGACTGTGCTCCGAGACCTGGGGAGATGAAGAATGACGCTTCCCAGGCGCGAACGCCTTTGTGTCCTCTGAGGGTGACGGGGACCCGGCAGCCTGGTAGACGCTGCTGTCTCCAGCCAGGGAGGGTGAAGGTGGCCCCGGTCTTCCCTCATGGCTGTCGAGCTCACAGTGCCTTGGGCACCGGGTCGGGGCCCCGTGATGACATCTCCTGCAGCCCCACTGCATGGTGAGCGACTCAGGGCTGCAGCCACGCGCCTGGAGCTTGGGGACTCAACCTCCTCGGGTCCCTCCTGGCTCCAGAGTCTTCCATTCCAGGCCCCGGGCTGTGGTGCTGACCACCTGGGCTCCCTGCCTCAGGCTCCCTGGCAGCCACGCACCCTCCTGGGAAGGCTCTGATGGACGTCAGTGCCGCTGTCCTCATCGAAGTGCAGCTACCCGCTCTGTGAGGGCCACTTCCTGCCGTGGACAGTGGAAAGCACTGGCCAGCGGCCCCCACACAGGGCTGTGGGATCCCGAGCTAAGTGGCCGCTCTGCACACTCGGAGACGCCTGGGCCAGGGATGTCACTGCTTCCTGGGTGAACAGACGGTTCCTCCTCAGAGCTGCTGGGTGCCCACAAGCCCCCGCTTCCCCCAGCTCTGGGTCACTTTGGCAAGGCCTGAAGCCGCTCAAAGGCAACTTCGGGAAAGGGGACCGACCGGGACAGAACCCAGTCCCCTCGTTCCAGCCACGGGTGTGTGTGGCACCTGGCTGAACTGCTATGGGAACCAGATGTTCTCCCAGGACAGAGAACTCGACCCCTGCTCAAAGGTCACCGTCACCACAGTCCTGTGGGACCAGGGCCTCTGAGCCTCCACTCTGTGACCCCTGGGCCTGGCTACCAGCTGAAATCCGGGCAGAGAGGTCCCGTGGCATGAGCGATGCTGTGGCAGGACCAGGCCTCCTGTCCGTGCAAGCTGGGCTTCCGCTGGCATGGCTCCTGCTCCCCGTGGGACTGAGTGACCCCGAGTACACGCTGACCTCCGGGATGGGTGGTTTCCTCCTCTGGACAGTTCAGCATCTGTCTGGTGGGTCCCAGGTCCATCTGTGTGACTGTCACCGGTCTTACAGATCCAATTCTCAGTCCATCTTCCTGGGAAGGGTCCTGGCTCTTGCTAAGATGGGACAAACACCCTGGGCTTGTGCCCAACACCCAGGAGGGAGCACGGAATCTTCTTCAATCTTCTGTCTTTAGATGCCTTCTTGCGCATTCCTGGCACCCGGGGCACTGTGGACTTGGACATCTTGGTTTTACAGCCCGAAAAACAGGGCAGGGCACAGGCACGTCGCTGTTAGCACGGTTGGGGTGGGAAAGGGACCCTGTCAAGAGGCCAGCCACGGAGGGCGCCTGCTGCCCTGGCCACTGTGCTGACCACGAGCCTAATTAAGGTGGCTTGGTGGCCACGTGGGCTAGGGGTGCTGGGTGATGTGGTCCTCAAGTCAGAGCCCTGGGTGGGGACTCACTGTGTGGCGCGAGCAGATCTTTAGTGTCCCCAGGCCTCGGTTTTCTCAGCTGTGATGTGGACACAGCAGGGCCGCGTCCAGAAGAGGTGGTGGGGCCAGAGGTGGCCAGCACAGGGGCAGTGAGCTGTCTTCCCTCCCCTAGGCATAAGCCCAGAGGCTGCACATGGGGACTTGGCATCTGGGACTGTGACTGCAGAGCTGAGCTTTCCTCCTCCCCGGGACACAGCCTCCGCCCCACCCGTGACATCTCCCACTCAGCCTGTCGTCCTCTCCACGCAGCATCGGGGTGGCCTGTGCCACAGTGGCATTAGCCAGGAACCAGGGCAGGGAGACAGTCTCCAGGGACAGGGACGAGGACAGCAGCACTGTTCTGGCAATGGTGCTTGTTTAAACCAGGGTCACTGAGTCCAGAAACCTTGGTGGCCAGGAAGGAACAGTCCTGGGCTGTGGAAAGTTCTCAGCCCCGTGCCGGGCAGAGCGCAGGGAAAGGAAGCCTTGTGCTTCCCGTGGGCCTCCCCTCCCGACCCGGCGGACCAGCCCTGATCTGTCACTCATCAGCTGCCCGCTCCCCACCGGGGCAGCATGCCTGGTACAGCTGGCTGTGAAGAGGGTGGGGGTGCTGGCCGGCGGCTGCTGTGGGCTGCAGCTGGTTTTCTGACTGTTTTCTGAGAGCCTGACATTCCCATTTTGCTGAGGAATCTCCTGATTCCAAAAACCCCGAAAGTCCACACACAGGCAGTGTGTGGTGATGGAGCAGAAGACTGGCCTGGGCCACCTGTCCCAGCCACTGCAGGGTGGGCCGGCACGGGCCATGTGGGCCTTTGCTGGCTTATGCCCCCCTCCCCGTGGGGATGAGACGGGGATAGAACATCCCCTGCCTGGCAGGTGAAGACCACCCCGTACAGGGGAGAAGGCACCGAGCCAGGCCGGGGCATGGAGGGGTGCCTCACCTCGGAGAGCAGTTTGGAGACGATTTCCAGGGGGGCTTGGTTGATGGAGTCATCCTGCAGCGGGGAGGTGAGGGCCATGTCCACCAGCGTCCGGATCTCTTTCAAGACCACTTCCCAGCGGCTTGGGTTACTCAGGACTTTCTTGTACTTGTAAATCTTTTTCTGGAAGGAAGAGAGAAACAGACACAAACATGTCACTGATCTGAAGGGCTCGGACGATGCAGCTGAGTGAGGCCGTGGTGAAAAGGCCCCAAGAAGCTGTCAACCTGGACGGTGCCTCACCCCGGGAGGAACCCGACCCGTAAAGGAAGGAGTGTGTCAGCAGGGAGGTTGCCGGGTGCCTCTGCAGACACCAGGCTCCTGGCTCCCGGCTCCCCAAGAGCTGTTTCCCACACTGGTCCCGGGAACTCAGGAAGGAAACGGGGTGATTTCTCCTTCACATCACAACGTCTGCCAAAGCTGCCCCCAAGTAGAGCGATAACTAGAGGTGCTGCCCTGTGATGCTGAGAGGTCCCGGGACCTCTCATAGCAGGGTCTATGACAGAGCGTGGATGGGGGCCAGGAGCCCATCACTGGCTGGGCAGGGCAGAGCCGCACCATCTCGGCATCGCCAGGCTGCCCCAGCATCCCCTGCCCGGAGGAGGATGCCTCACCTGCACTGGGCGCTGCTGCCTCTGCTGGGCCGAGTTTAGGCTGGGTGGCCGCGCCTCGGGTTTGAGGCAGAGCCGGTCCCGCCTGTGTGACATCATGGAAAGAGGCAGTCGGAGGCCGAGGTCAGAGCCAAGTGCTGGCTGGCTCCCTCTGGTCTTGCGGCCGCCCCCTGCCTGCCCTGCTGCGCCTCCCGCTGGATGAGCGCCTTCATGAAGCACCCCTGCTCCTCAGGGAAATGCCTAATTTTGGCATCACAGCACCAGCACCAGCTGGGGTGACACAGCCCCGGTATCGGAGCCAGAGTCCAAGCGAGGGAAGAGTGAAGAATAGGCTGTCCGCCTGTGCTCCCGCAGAGGGCGTAGGCCAGCGGGCCCCTCAGCCCTTTGTTTCAGAGTTAAGAATCATAAGGTGGTTTTGGGACCTGGAGCTAAGAAGGAAGGATGGGGGGCCCCACCCTAATAGCAAAGTGGATGATCATTTAGTAAGGCACCGTGGCGGTTCGAACGGGAGGGGGACTGTGCTTATTTGGGTATTTATTTTGGTTTTTTTGAGACAAGTCTTATTAGGTGGCCCAGAGTGGCTTCCAACTCTTGGTGATTCTCCTGCCTCAGCCTTGCAAGGGCTGGGAGTAAAGGCACGAGCTACCACACTTGGCAAGGAGGTCCACTCTGGACTCAGTATTTCACCTGCTGGGGCCTGGGTCCCTATTCCGTAAAAGAGGCAGGAAAAGCCCTCTCGCTGCCCTTCCCTGCAGCACCCGTCCAGAGCCCAGCCCCTCAAGGAGGACGCGTGGACACACTGCACCCTGGGTCTCCATTGGTTCCAATGGGAAACGTGGAGGTCGTGAGGCTGTCACCCAGGGCGATGCAAACGTGTCGTGTGTCCTTTCTGGGCCTCTTCCCTACTAATGGCCACACAGGCCACACCCAGGGGCTTTGGCTCTTTCTTACAGCTTCCCTTCTCCGCTTCCTCTTCCTTGCTGACCTTTGCCTTTCCCCGTCTTACTCCTCCAGAAGCCACGGCAATTTGCATCAGATGAGGGCGATCAAGCAGGGGACCACACACACAGATTTGGGGACCCTGAGGGACCACTAGGAGCGTACCACATGTTCCACTGGGCGAGTGCTTTGTGCCTGGTAAACGTGGTGCCAGTGGCCTTGATGGCCGCGATAAGTTTTTGCTGAGCTCCACTGCTAAACATGACACAGGCACCCGATCCAAGGTGCCTTCACTGGGCTGTGACCAGCCAGAGCACGGGCCATCCCTGGGGCTACACCACCCAGCTCGGTGCACAGCAGGGGCTGTGGGAGCCGTACCTCGGCATGCCGGGAAACACAAAGTGTCCCGATTGAACAGCGTGACACCTCTCGGAGCCAGGACCGGCCACTCCTGCACCCAGAGAACTGCTGGATTTTGAAATGACCGTGAAGTGATCCTAGAAATGCCGTCCCTTCCCTGGCCCTGAAGAAAACCAGTGATCCCAGCTGTGCCTTCCCACAGCCGACTCCAGGCTGAGCGCAGTTTGAGTGCTCAGGGCTGCTCTGTGGATCGGCTGCAGGTTAGTTACTCTGCAGAGAATAATGACTTTGGGTGGTTTTTTTGGTGTGTGTGTGAAGACAGTGCATGTTCATTATGAAAAATTCATACTGCAGAGCACAAAAGAAGACGGTAAATTAAAAAAGGCCTCCGAAGTCCCACAGCTCAGAAACAGTTGTTAATATTTGGTGAGCGCCGTTCCTGCCAATCCTCATTTAAACCCTGCACGGTGCAGCCAGCCGGCGGGGCCAGGGGCCATGAGAATGCCCCCCGTGCCCCACAGACCCTACGGCAACACAGAGGCACCGACCGGCAATGCTGGTGCCCATGTGACTTCGGTGACCTGTACTTGTCCTTGGTGACCTGGCTTGGGTGCCACTGACAGCCCCTCCCTGGCGCCAAGAGCAAGCAGGGGCTGCTTCAGAGGTGGGCGCCAGGGCGGTACCCAGGGCGAGCGTTTCATGAGTGCGTACCGCATGCCAGGCCAGGTGCAGGGCTGGGACAGCAGCTGTCCCGTGTGACCCTGCGAGTTGGGGATGGGGTACCCAGAAGCAGACCCTAAGACAAAGCACAAGGCGCCAGTGGGTTAGGATTTGGGAAGTGACTGTAGAAAACACCGGGGAGAAAGACAGTCAATGAACAGGCGCCACTGAGCTGGGGCTGTCACCTTCCACGGGCTGCGGGTGCGAGGTCCTGCTGGGGACTCTTAGAGGTGGGCAGCTCAGCTTTGGAGTTGACCACCAAGGAGCGGGGGACAGGAGCATTCGCCCCACTCCCTTTCCTCTCCCCCCACACTTCCGGCTGCCAGGACCCAGGCCACAGAGGTCCAGGGGTACAAGTCTGCACATTAGGGCCCAGTCTGAGTGTCCCAGGGCCAGTTCTGTACCCTGCAGGTGGTGCTGGGAGGGTCTGTCCACATCCTCTGTGCCCCTGGAGGGCTGGTGACTTCCCTGAGGCCAGTGGCCAGAGGGAGACAAGACAGGAGTCAAAGCCAGCGCTGGCCAACTCCAAAGCTCTCGCTCTTTCCATCACACTGGCCAGGGTGCAGGGGCCAGGTGGGGGCAGGTTGGGGTCTCCAGGAGACACTGATGGGGGCATCGAGGAGGGCCTGGGAGCAGTGGCGGCCGGCGGGTGACCGGCTTGCAGTGTGGGAAGGGGGCTGCTCTTCCAGAAGGGCTGTCCAGGGCGATGAGGCCAGCCACTCCCTGGTGACAGAGTGGCGCGTGTCATCCGCGGAGCACTGATGAGCTCACCAGGCAATGGATGAATCATGATGGGGCAGGGAGGAAGCCGCCTCTGGGATCCTCAACCCCGCGGAGCCCTCTCTGCCAGGGGATGGGTGGCCTAGCGGTTTGTCCAGCGTGGTCAGGAGCCCTGGAACCACTGGAGGACGGACCCATGGGTGGTACTATGTAGAAGGGAGCTGAATTAAAAGTGGGGTGCAGGTTACCTATGGTGATCAAACCTGGCCGTCCCGCCTGGGATTATACCAGGAAACCAGAAACGGTCTTTGGTGTTTTTAACAACACTGAAGGGGAAAAAAATTGATACAGATTATGCAACAGAAATTAAATGCAGCCCGTGAAGCCCCAAATATTTGCTATCCAGCCCTTTACAGACAAGGTTTGCTGAGTCCTGGCTCGCAGCATCAAATCCCAGCCCAGGAGGTCAAAAGACAGGGACGTCACTGGCCCCCCAGGAAGCGGGGAAGCTCCCATGAAGAGAAACCAAGCATTTCACACCCACTAGGATGGCTCGGGGCAAAAACCAAACACCACCAAGTGTAGGAAGAGTGTGGGGAAACAGGGACTGGGACTCTTTGCAGCGCGGTGGACGGCGGCTGCCGCGGCCATCAGGACAGCTTTGACAGTCGCTTAGGATGTTAAACACACACTTTTCACAGGCCCGACAGTTCTGTGCTGAGAAATCTGCCCAAGGGAAAGAAAAACACGCTCCGCACAAAGACACCCACACGCCTGTCCACAAAACAGCTCCAGCTCTGTGGACGAATGAATGGATCAGCCGTGGGGAAGAGGGCAGCCACAGACTCCAGCGCACAAGGCAGTGAACCTGCGGAACGGCACATTCGCTATGCAAAGGGAGAGAAGCCAGGCCCAAGAGGCACGGTACCTACCGTACACCTGACACTTCATATAAACCATCTGGGAGAGTCAAACGCAGAGAGGAAGATGAACCAGTCCCCGCACGTGGCTGGTTTTACAATGGGTGGATTTTATGGCGTGTACGTTGTAACTCACATAAGCTACCTTAGCTTAAGAGTGCACCGTACGAAGACAATGGTTGGATGGCTTTGTGTTTAAGAGTGTAGGTACGGCGATAGCAGACTTTAGCCCAATTCTAAGCTCTGCTTCATCCACCCACCATCCATCCACCACTCATTCATCCATCCATCCACTCATCCACCCACCCACCCATCTATCTATCCGATCATCCAACAAAGAATACTTGAAACCCTCCACCACCGCCTGCCAAGCTCCGTGAAGGTATTCAGGATCCTCAGCACAAGCAAAGCAGACAGCCCTGTGTTCACGGAACCCACAGTCAGTTACTTGTATTTTAGGTTCTCCATCTACAAAGCAGGAAAAAACAACAGCTGCCAAAGGCTTGCTGTGACCATCTCTGAAACCTTACGTACACAACAAGCCCAGTTCCTGGCTGAGCAGCAGCTCTAATGATTCCCACCTACTGAGGCCGGGCAGTGAGTGTCCAGGGCGGGCAGGACTCAGGAGGACGCCCAGCATCCACGTCTCAGCCAGCCGCAAACACAGCCAGCAGCAGAGTCTCCAGCTTCCATCCGGCACAGCCAGTCACTCCGTGGCTGTCCTCGTCCTCCGTGTGTCAGGGAAGGCACGTTACCTGGGTGACACCCGCCATCTCTCTGGTAACTGCTCCCACAGCAGAAACAGGCACAGACACTGGGCTGTCAGGCCTGAGAACACCGAGCCTGTGCCGCC